TTTGAGTGTGAGATTCCACGAAATAACGATCAGTGAATCATTCCACATCCGGTTTACGCCCATTCGAGGCAACAATAAAACGCGTATTTAATAATCTGGTTAGTATCACCTCGGAAATAATAACACTGACTAATGATGAAATATCAATTAGAAAAAAATTTAAACAAATAAACTTATGCGCCCTAGGTACTGGGACAGGTGTATCCTCACTCCAGATGACAGGAGTGGCTTGAAAAAAATATAAACTCCTTGTCATCTAGCAGAACTTGAATTTATTCAAATCCCCGAAACGTTTCTCATAAAAAATTCTCCGAAATGATGATTAATGGATGAGATGAAATCCGGTTTAAATCCACACCCAACAGCCAAATATAAGAACCATAAAACCTAACTAGTAAAGCTATGCAAATAATTATTAAACGAGCAATAAGTTTATTCCATTAAATTATCAATTAAACAGATGTTTTAAGGTGTTGACACAAATGTATTTTACGATCTCCATTTTCTCAGAGAATACCTAATACACAGTCGTCAGTAATTTTTATTTAATACTAATTATCCCAGAGAAATGATGAATTATTTAAATTAAGAGCGTCCACAAAAAAAATCGCCGACTATAATTATGCCATTGCAAAAATTTCCACTGAGAATGAAAAGTACCGATTGCTGCCGATCCCCGGAAACAACAGTTAATTGTAAAATCCATTGCAGTCATGCAACTGTCATAAAATGGTGGCGAATGTTTTCACAATTCGATCTCTGGATTTTCTAAAATTTATAAAATAACGATTACAAACGATTATACCGATTTCTTAAAAAAATCGTTATTTCAAATTCCAAATAGACTCCCCCACCAGAAAATAATTGGAGATTTACCAATTGCAAAATTTCGGTACGAAATTCACAATCGTGACTATAAAAAAATAGCGATAAACAATGCCGATCCCCGGAAACAACAGTAAATGCTCCGTCATACGTATGACTGGCATAAAATAGTGGCTAATGTCTGAATGAGCTGATATTTTAGCGATTTCCCCATGAAGAACGGTGACTTGAACGCCAGTAAAGGAGTCGAATCGAATCGAGACACCCCGTAGACGCTGGAAGAAACCGATTCACATGTTTCCCCAACGGCCAGTGGTCCCTTTGCCCTTCCCCCAGACAATTCTCTCCGTCGCACTTACACGTCCCTCATTACCTGACTCACTCGACAAATGCATTCGTGCTGTAGAGGACAAGTGCTTGGGATTTGTCCCCCCTCCAGCCCCTCGAGCCCCTCCACAGAAACTCGAGGGGGGCCTCTAGGTGTATAGAAGCCACAAACTCAGTGCAAACGCGTCCGAGCGATCGTTAACGTCACAAATTTATCATTAAAATCCCGCAATGCGTGTAAAAATCGTCTGAGCAACCGATCAACTCGCCAATCGATTGATCTATCGATCTCCAACCGATCATTTATGATTGGCAATTCAATTTAGCGGTTATAGTGCATCGAAAATTTTGAAAAATCGCCACTTTCCCGCGGATTTCTTCGTTTTTCATTTCGATTTTTGGTTTCGATTTTTGGTATCGATTTTTTTGGTAGTCAATGATCGGTGATGAATGAACGACGCGATTTAGTTGAATATATTGAATCAAGTGTAACGGAGACTCGAATACCTGACGCCGTTCGAGTTTCTTGACTCACCTGTGGGGTAAAAAAAAAACCGGTACCCAGGGGACGCCGCGGAGCCACGGGAGGACGAGGGATTCGTCACGAAAACGTTGGAGGATCTTGGGATTGAGGATTGGAGTCTGGCGAGGGAATGATGGGAGTGGTGTTGGTTTGATGATTGAAAATTCTTGTCTCGTTTGGGTTGAGTTTGACGCCTGGACGAGGTGCGACCGGAATCGGCGCCCCACGTACGGAGAACGATTTTGTCGGAATATATCGGTTATCACGCCATGAGGATCCTCAAAACGTTGCACTGGTAGGTATATTCAGGATTTATTGTACCTTTTCGGTATTTTTCAATCATTTGGACCCACGCAATGTGTGCGCTGAAAAATTTTGTGAACCGGTTTCAACCGATTTTCTCTAGCGCGCAGTTTTCGACGGAAATCTCCAAATCTAAGAGGAATACGAAGATTTTTGATAGAACCTTTTTTGTAGGGCGTGTTTAGAGGTACAAAAATGATTATTGTGGAAATTTTCATATCTCTCATGGCTTTGGAGGTATTTCCTAAAAACTATGTCAAGTCATTTATCGCTTTTGGGATTTTATCATTTTGTTTGGAATCAATCATTTCCCGAGAATTTAAGGAATATTTTTTGGTTTATTGAAAGGTCACGTGAATTGACGAGTTTTTTATTTTTTAACTCTAGAAAATGGTGAATTTCGTGGAATTTTCATCTAAATCAAAATCAAATCGTTTTTCCTCTGACCAGTAAAAACAATTCATTTAAATGAGTGAAAAAAAATCAAAACCACTTTTCCATTATTTTTAATTCGTCAGACGGAGCACTTAAAGAATATTCAGGCGCCGGGGAAAATTGCCTCATTAAGAGGTGAATTACCTTTTCGTAAAGCAGTCGTAATGACACTATTTACATCAAGATTTTCATGTGGAAAAATACGAAAAATCCCCTAACGGTTGATGATAATTACAATTGGATTAAGGGAGGGTCTTACATTTTTAGAAACTCGACGAAGAGAAATTATTTCGAAAATCCATTATTTCAAAATATTCTCAGAAAAAGTTATGCATGAATTTCTCCATAATTAATTCATTATTAATTCCTCCCTTTTTCTTTTTTTCTTCATGATAAAGTTCAAGAAATATATCTCCCTGAATTTTTCTCTGAATAAACTGAAAATAATTACTCAAGAGTAAATACAATTTATTTTAATGACCAAATAAAATCAAAACGATTTTTAAAGTGAGAAAAATAAATTCAATGTTTCTCAGGTTTTCATTATTTTTCATTCTAGAGCAAAATTTAATCGACATTTCGATGTTAATAATTCTTTCAATTGTTCAATACTTTTGCTCTGTCAAACTGGAATGCCAATCTCAAAAGCGATTCTGTGAATTCTGCGAAGTAGGTCCGCAAGTTCCGGTTCTCCATGAAGAAAAATAGGAAAATAGAGCAAGAAAGTTGAAATTCATTGAACAAATCTTGAGCAGCTTTCGAATATACTCGCCTCGTCCAAGAAATTTTCTCATTCCCCCGCTAATGAAAAAAAATGCCCGGTGTAAAAAAAAATGCTCGAACAAAAAAAAACTTTGAATATTCCATTCGAGACCGTGTGAGAGTATAATACCCGTAAAAAAACCGTACAAAGTAAAATGGTCGTGAACGTACGTTATTGCTCGTACCTTTTGTTCCTGGATCCCTTTGTCCTCGGGTTCGTATAATCCTCTCCTGGAGTTTTGTCTTCAACGCATATAGTGGGTAACCACAGCCTGTTCGCGGCTCAAAAACCCTTTCTTTCGAAAAAAAAAATTCCACCGCTGTATCAATCGCCAAAAGATGATCTAGCTAGATGAAAAAAATTCTTAAAGTTACCACCACTGGATTCTATTGAAAAAAGTTCAATTACCAATTGACTGATCCCCTAATCATTTTTAGGAGAAAGCAATTGTGGGGAAAATAAATTATTTAATTTCCATCTCTTAACAACAATTTATTGTTACATTATAGAGGATTTTAATTAGTAGATCAAAATTGAATAATTAATTTTTCTCAGAATTGCTTTTTCCTAAAAATTACTAAAAAATTAGTTAATTATTCACAGAATTTGTTCCTGATTTCGAAATTTTCGAAAAATCGGTGAGAAATTGCAAATCGGTTAAATGGATATGAGAGATTTGCCGAATTCCTGGATGGAATTCCCTCATCCCCTGAACAATGCGATATTTAATATAAGGACACCTCGCCGGCGGTGTGGTGCCCCGATCCCCTAATTACCCCAACAACATCCCCTCAAGCAATCCCACAAGATCAATAAATTCCATTACCCCTAATTACCATCTACCAGAAACGCGAGATCGCGGTATTGGATTCCCATCTGAATTCTCCAAAAACCATTTCCATTTCAATGAAATCCATTTTTTCTATTTCAATGGAATCCATTTTTTCTATTTCAATGGAATCCATTTTTTCTATTTTCCACCTCGAAGTTCAAATATTAAAATACCCCCCAACAATTCCCCCTTTTGAAAAATCCAATATATGCATCAAATACTTTAAACAATTTTTAGGGGAGGAGAGGGAAAAATTCTCCCTTTTCTTCACATTTTCGAAGTTTTTTCCTCATTTTTTTTAAAGATGTAGGGGCAGAGTAATTGATGAGTTGATGAGTGTTTAAATTTCATATTTAATTCATTAATACGGAGCTTTTATTCTGTTTACTAAATTCAATTGATAAACACTTAAATAATGATAAAGATCTGATTTCTAATTAACGTTAGACACTATTTGCACGAAGCAGAAATTAATTGTTTTTTATAATCTCGACAAGTTAATTCGAAACTATTGGAAAAAAAAAATCGTGAGGGGAAGGGAAGTCCATTTTACCCACTTTCCCCCAAAAGTTTCATTTTGACGACGCGTTGCAAAATTTAGGACTAGTGATTTGAGCAGTAGAAATTGTTGAGAGACGAGTTTCTGATTAGGGGTTCATTTTACCTTCCTCTTCCTTAATTAATAATTTTTTAAAATATTTTTTATACTCATATTATAATTATGAAAACGAAAATCATATCTATAAATGCATATTTCCTAGACAGAATTTTCCCTTAAATTCTTTATATAAAAACTAAAGTTCATTAACTACATTCAATTTATGAATTATGTAACTCAATTACTTACATTGTATATACATGGTTATAGATTTAATTTAAGGCCCCAAACAATAAACTATAAAAATAACTTTTGATTTTTGAATTTTTGAAATTTGAAATAGTAGTGTTTTTAAAATTTTTCTAATTTTTTTGATTTTGTGATGTTTTTTCAGGTCTAGAAGACGCAGCAACAGTGGCGTGACAGACATCCACCTGCAGCAGGCTCAGGTGCATGATAACAATAACGGAATCGATCATCTCGAGACCAAAGAGTCACGTGATAATTCAGGCATCCCCGATGAGATGTGGACCTCGGGACAAACCCCGGGCCACCATCGGGAATTGCCGGTCGATGTTCCCGACACTCTCCTCCAGCAGGCATATGCCAACAAGGTAATAAATGAAACCCCCAATTTACGTAGAACCGAGACGCCAACACGTGTCACCAATTCCCGTAGCGCTAGCCACCATCATACCCATCAAAATCGCGATAAACGCCATCCTGAAAAGATTCCTCGTATTAAAAATGAGGAAACGATTCATCATCTTAAACCGATTATCGATGAGCACAACGGATCGCTAAATACCGATAATAAATTGATCGTCATCGATGACGGAGCCCAGCCCAGGATAATCGAGATAACCCTGAGGAACAACGACAAGAACGACAAGACGAATCAAGAGAGAGTATCAATAGTTGACGAAGGCAAGACCATAATCGATATATTCGATAAATCAATGAGCGACGTCAAAGAGTCGAGTGTCGACGGGGATTACGATTATCCCTTCGCCAAGGAGGATTACCCAACGATGCTGAAGACATGCAGCGATGCATCAGCCAGTCCTCGAAGTTCCTCAGGTAGATCAGACAGTACAGCAGCGATGGATGCGAGTCTGATTCTACCGGGAAAGGAGTCACCACTCTACGACGCACGTAGAATCGATTTGGGTTCACCGTGTCGACCAATCGGTCTCTTCCTCAGCAATCGCGAGTCCTTATCCACGTCATTTGACAATCCCGCCTACGGTCTCGACCTGGATCTCCACCAGGGCCTCCTCATGCGCTCAGAGGAGATGACTGATCTCTCGATGCTGCTCTCCAATCAGAAATCCCTGAAGAAGACCAAGAAGTCGATCGATCGAGAGGGAGAGCTCATCTCAGCTGCATCCACTGAGGATCTCTTGTCAAAAGACGTCACTGATTTTGTCGCTGTTGCAACAGCTGATACCAGGAAGAAAAAGAAACAATCGTCGAGCGGTTACTCAACCCTTCGCAGTGACACGTCGGACAAATCATTTCTTGTTATCGGTGCTAAGCGCTCATTTCGCGAAGTTGCTGTTGATTGTCCCCCGGATTTTGTACCGATTACAAAGGGTCACCCCATCTATCCACCACCCGGCAGAAAAACCCATGACATCGGCAAAAAATCAGTATCTATTGATAATTTAAGTACAGTTAAACCTGAGAATGACAAACGAGATCTCTTGGAGGGATCCAAGAGTGTTAAGGTAAGGTTTAAAGTACGGAAATTCATGGGTAAAGGTTACAACATTTGTAAATCAAATATCCTATCGTCCAATTACCCAATTAGCACTCACAGTCTCTCCAACGCACTCACATGTAAAACGCTTAACTGCACAGTCCTATCGCATTCGTCAATTCCTTATTTGTTTGACTTTAATGGGTCGGGCCACAAGGAGATGTCGTTTAGGCGAATCGAGAGCTTTCGTGATGAGACAAATCAGAATTGTAAAAATTACATACGCGAGGCTGACACCAACTCCTGGCAAAAATCAACAGCTGGGGATCAGTGGAATGCTCCGGATGATGAAGATTTCGAGCTCTTGGATAATGCTGAGAATTCTGCCCTGTCGGATGCTTACAGAAGGTCCAGACTAGTGAGATCTAATTTATTGATCATTGGTGCTGGCAGTCTGCCAGATCTTCAGAGGATTCCACCCTCTGACTACCCTTTTAGGACGATTCGACGACACAGTTTTACGGGGAAGTTTCGGTGGAGGGAAAATACTTCTCCAGGTGATGATGATGATAAGAGACAACAGGTAACAAGAGTGTTTAAGAAATGGAAGAAGCATCAGGCAGTGTGTGGTTTCAGATTGATGGATATTCTATCATTTATTCTGAGGATTGTCGATAGTTTCTTCAGGTTCTTGGGGCTTTGGGTCGCTTGCTCTCAGCATGATATTTTCTTTCCTGGACATTTGACGTGGAGATCTCTAGGAGAAGTTCTACCATTAATTGATTCATTCATTTTTACCGATATATTATTTCTCCTAGAGTTTTACCACGAACTTCTGCTAAGAAAAAAAATTGTCTTGACTCTTTTTCTCAGCAAATCTCCATTTGAACCTTCTGAATCCACTAATTTTCATTCATCCTCGCTTCTTCATCCTGTGAACCTCAATTTCCTTTGAATTGAGATTTTTTTTTCTCATAATTAGTTTCTTATAGAGCAAATAGCAATTGCATCGTGATCTCTCCATCAGCGGAATGAAGATGAAATGACGGATTTTTCGATGAATCAGTTCGGGGAATCAAATCGTTGTTGTCCTGGTGCCAATGAAGATCTAATTGTTTTTTCAGACTGGTCTGAATGGTGTAAAGCCAGCGATTCCTCCGAGGGATCAGAAGAGAGCACCAGCTAGACCACCCAAGGACAACGTCAGGATATCAAATCGCAATAACAATATAGAGATTAATGAGAATATTAACACGACGAATGAGTCGATACAGCAGCCACAGCCGACACCTCAGCAGCTTTACTCAATTAAAAAATATCAAGTGAGTGATTATTTTTATTTAGTTTCATTAACCGATGTCTCTTTCATTTACACTTATTGTTTATTTTTCGTTGGGATAATGTTTTATTTTTTTTTGGTGGCTGGAGAGGGGGGAGGGGAAGGTGTAGGATAATAGTTGTGTACACGGGAAACGGAAAACATTGAAGCTAATTACCGAACCGTGTCGATTTTACTTCCGCGTGTCAACAATGTCGAGTCTTTCGGAGATCGTTCAATCGTCAAATACAATTGCTATCGAGAATTTGATCGGAAATTGTGAATTACCCCAGAACGAACTTTTTGTTGACACCAAATTTCCTTCTTTTTCAATTCACTATTTTTCAAACGTCCATTACGTTTACAGTTATTTCGGGGATTACCCCAAATTTATGGTTCCATTCACATTTGTTTTTTTTTTATTCATCATTACTTCAGGATGATGTAACTCGTGGTGAATTATTTACATTATTATTGATAAATTCAAATGAGTTTTATCAATTAAATTTGTTTGGGGTGAGTAAATTTTTGTTTTAGAAAATTGAAGAGAAATTGAATAACTATTGTTTGTGATTGATCTACTGGGGAAAATGAAGCCCCATGAATGGCACGTCGAGGCTTCCCCGATATTTTCATATTATCCTCTCAACAATTGTCTCGTAACACTGAGAAAATTAATTACTTTTGCTAATTAAATTTATTTTCTTGCATTTTATTATCTGATTCAATTAATTAACCAGAAGAATTTATTTTTCTCAAGGGCAGAAAGAGAAAAACAGAACACCGAGTAATCACTCTTTTTTAACTCCCAGTGATGGGCGTCGAGGTCCGTAATCACTCACTAATTGCTTTGATAAGCCCAATCAACGAGTAATGGAGTGTTTGAAAAACTCTCGTGAAGTTCTTTTTTTGTCAATCGATCGCTGAGATTTTATTTTCAATAGAAGTTTAATTGAGAGAATGGGAAAGTGGAAAGAGAATATTGATTTGGTAATTGGGTTTGATGATTCTAGGAGCAATTACGACAGAGAAAGGACCATGAAGAGCGTCAGGAATATCTCCAGGAGTCGATACGTCGCTCAAAGAAACTCTACGCCCTTGAGAGTCACACGACGAATCTCGTCGGCCAGGAAAACCTGGCGTACACTCAGGACGAATTTTCCACACCTACCCCGACGGCAGATCGAAAAAGACGCTCCGTTTCCCCGAAAGAAATTGAAGAATCCTCGACAGCTCTGAGTGAGTCCAGATTTCTCGAATACATGTTTTAAAAAAGAATCTAGAACTTTCTCTAAAAAATTTCACCTAATTTCTATCCATTAATTTCCAAGTGTATTAATCATATTACCAATACTAATTATTAACATAATTATAATATAATTCTAGATTTAACAATTCTAATTAAAGTTGGCAAAAGGAAAGGAAATCGAATTTTCGAATGGAATTCCCATCGAGTTTTAATTTTATCAGAAATTTATCAGAGATCAATTTATTAGAGAAAGTACAGAATTTTTTTTGTCAATGTACGGTAATTTCAGTTTATGGAATACAAATGATTTACAGCTTATGGAGAAGTCGTGGCGATTCTGGAGAGGCTACAGATGCAGCTGAAGAATCTGTCAGGTGCACTAGGCATCTCTGGCCCTGGGGTTGAGGCGGAATTGGATGCGGTTAGAACGCTTTTGATACAGAGGAGGTTTGCAACAGCCCTCAGTACACATCAGGTACTCAGATCGCGGCTCAGGGCGGATAAATTACCGAAGCATTGCGATGACGATGCTTCCAACCTGGCACGTGATGTGAGTTCTTATTATTCAACATCTCATTTCCAGATAATTCAATCTTCATTCAATTTTTCTTATTCAACACTCAAATTCGGAAATTGTACTTTAATAATGATAAAAAATCGCCAAATTGCTTCAATAATAATCTTTTATTATTATTCGTTTAATGAGGTTCTCCTATTTTTCTATTAATATACATAAATACAAATACAGGATTCCAATAGAATTTTTATAAATGTCTCACGGAAATCGAACTAAATTTCCTGGAAAAAATGTCTGGTTTTTTAATTAAATTTTGTATTTAAGGCCCGGGTGGACTATCTATCGAATATCATCTTTTTTTTTAATTTTATCTTTTTAGCCTAAAGTACATTAAAATTTGGGATCAAATTTGTGCTGCGGGAGCTACTCGAATGGTTATAAAAAAATAAAATGAAAAAAAAGAGGAAAAATTATTGAAGGGCGCTAAAGAGCGATATTGTTTAAAATGGATCTACCAAGTTTACAAAAAAATGATAAAAATTGTGCAGCTTACCATTGCTCTCCAGAAGATTGAGTGACAGCTAGATGCAATAGTAAGCTGCGTATATTTTTTAATTATTTTTTAGTAAACTTGATATATCTCTTTTAAATAATCTCGATCTTTAGCGCCCTTCAATAATTTTTCCACTTTTTTTCATTATTTTTTCATGTCCATTCAAGTGTTTCCCGCAACACAAAATTATTCCCAAATTTTAATGTTTTTTAGGTTAAAAAGATAAAATTTTACCAAAAGTCGACGTTCGATAGATAGTCCACCCGGGCCTTAATAAAAAAATTAAAATATCAAATATTTTAAGGCCCGGATGGACTGTCTGGAAAAGATAATTTACTCCAAAATTGGGACTTCTAATTACTCCGTCAATTAATCGTGTTTTCCGATAATTGTTAGCTAGCGGCCTAGTTGTTGACAACCGCTAGAACGCTAGCTAACAATTATTGAAAAAAACGATTAATTGCCAAAGTAATTAGGAATCCGAATTTCGGAGTAAATTATCTTTTCTAGATAATCCACCCGAGCCTGAAATATTTTATCAGAATTTGGGATCTCCTTAAGAACAAATGATTTTTTTTTCAGTGCGTGGAGGTTCTGGAGGAGTGGCAATCGACGGTGAAGTCGAGCGAAAATGTAGCCCTCGTCGAGGAGCTCACGGGTTTATTGACGAGCTACGAAATGGAGGGGTTATTGCTGTCACACGATTCAGTAATATCGTACGTCGATGGAGTACAGCGCAAGCAGAGCCCGTCTTCCTCATCCCCCAGTGAAACACCAAGTCTTTCATCTAGCTATCGAGATTCAAGGAATACAGAGAACATCAAGATTATTAAAATTGAAAAGACGAATGAGCCACTCGGTGCTACTGTCAGAAATGAAGGCGATGCTGTTATAATTGGTAATATATAATAAGATCCTTTGATGTTGTTCACTCACTTGAAATACTTTCGATTCACTTATGAATAAATTCAAGAGAAAAAACCTTGAATTTATATCAGAAGTCTTAAAGAATTTTATTAAAGGTCCATTGAAATGCTATTTATTGATTTTTTTATTCTTCAATAAAACTATAAAATACCAATAGAAAAATATCTAGAGCATTTAAATAGAACATTTTTAATAGAAATTCGATAAAATTTCCAGGAGAAAAGTTTCGTTCGAGTTTTTTTTCATTCAATTTTCCATGTAATTTTAAATTTCCCCTCACATACTTCACAAATTGATGGTACGGTGAAGTAATTGAGGAATGAAGGGGAAATAATATTAATTTCTTGTGTAGGGAGAGTTGTTCGAGGTGGTGCTGCGGAAAAATCCGGTCTCTTCCATGAAGGAGATGAAGTTCTCGAAGTTAATGGGGTGGAAATGAGGGGCAAGAGTGTCAATGAAGTCTGCGATATTCTCGCAGGAATGCAGGGGAGTCTGACATTTCTCGTTTTACCAGCTTCCAACAATTATCGAAATAACGTAACCAATACTGTCAAAGACGATAACAGCCAGGTAAAATTTAATAAATAAAATAATTATGAAATTTAGATATTTGAGAGATAGCTAGTGAAGGGTGGAATAAAATGGCTAGCCTTTGGACGATAACAACTGATTGTTTTCATGGATTTTCTGCTCAGGTACATCACGTGAGAGCCCACTTTGACTACGACCCAGAAGAGGATCCTTACATACCGTGTCGAGAGCTCGGTGTAAGCTTTCAGAAGGGTGACGTCCTCCACGTCATATCTCAAGAGGATTCCAACTGGTGGCAAGCTTACCGCGAGGGAGAGGAGGACCAGACACTGGCTGGTTTAATCCCGAGTAAAGCCTTCCAGCATCAGTGAGTACTTGTTACACTCCTCAAATCAATAGTCAAATCATGAGAAGCAAAAAGCTTTTTGATTAATGAAAATTGATGAGAACATATTTCAGACTAATTGTGTCTTGAATAAAAATTAATTCACATTAATTTCACGTTTCACAAATAAATTCCTAATGAAAGAATTTTTTATTCAATCCTTCTGTTCAGGCGGGAATCGATGAAGCAGACAATAGCTGGTGGCAAGACTACGATGCGTGGAGGAAAAAAATCGAGTACTCTATTGTGCACGAGGAAGAATCCAAAGAAGAAGAAGAAACGGAGCAAATTTGGAAGTAATTTGAATGAGGATGGATATCCACTTTATTCAACTTCGACAATCGATGGTGGGATTTCATATAATCACTCATTAATCATTTTGTGTGCTAACCAATGGAAATGTGAAAAAACAAGTAGAAGTTTAGAAAATATCTGATGATATTTGTTGATCGATTTCAGATTACGATAGCGAAGAGGTTTTGACTTACGAAGAGGTAGCACTATATTACCCGCGGGCAAGTCATAAGAGACCAATTGTTTTAATAGGACCTCCGAATATCGGAAGGCATGAGCTGAGACAACGTCTCATGCAGGACAGCGAAAGATTTGCTGCTGCGATACCACGTAAGTACTTTCGACGAATTTTTTCCCAAAATGGAATGATTCCATTAACTACATATTAGTTTCCAACAAATTATTCTAAATTATCTCCAACAGAAATCAATAAAAAAAACAATAAATTTCGTCCTCGATTTATCTCTTTGAAATTTTGAATTAAAACGCAAAATTGAATAGAAAATTGTCAATTCCAGATACGAGTAGACCACGAAAGGGTTCAGAAGTTGATGGCCAGGATTACCACTTCATTTCTCGTTCACAATTCGAGTCGGACATCCTCTGCAGAAAATTCGTGGAGCACGGAGAGTACGAGAAAGCGTATTACGGCACCTCAGTGGAGGCAATACGAACGGTAGTGAATTCAGGAAAAATCTGCGTCCTGAATCTCCACCCCCAGAGTCTGAAAATCCTCAGGAATTCTGACCTGAAACCTTACGTGGTGTTTGTGGCACCACCCAGTCTCGAGAAGCTGCGGCAGAAGAGGCTGAAGAATAACGAGAGCTTTAAGGAGGAGGAGCTCAAGGACATTATCGAGAAAGCCAGGGAGATGGAGGACAAGTATGGACACCTATTCGATATGATTATCATCAATAATGACACGGATCGTGCTTACAATCAACTACTCACTGAGATAAATTCACTGGAGCGCGAGCCACAGTGGGTGCCAGCCACTTGGGTCCAGTGATACATCATTCATGATGCTGTAAAATTCACGTAGATAAAACGAGAGATGCAATACTTTAGGCCATTTTCGAGTGCCTGAATTTTATTTATGGAGAATACGAAAATCATCATCACTACTGAACCTCTTAACCTTGAGGGAGTCATTCTGCACGTATGAAAAAATTTCATTGAAAATAATTCTTTCCTCCGGAAATTCCATTCAATTTCTATTAGGACACTGGGAAAAAATGTTGTGGGATATCCCTAAATTTTTTGAAAATATATATGGAAAAAATTTTAATCGATTAAAATTCGTAGAGAAAAAATTATGACATGAATTATGAAGAAAAAATCGCAGATTTTGAGAATTTTTGGAGAATGTCAGAAACTATTCTGCAGTAGAGAAAATATCAAATTATTACTGAATTGATATTGAGTGCCTGTTGATATTTAATAGAATTTCTTGGAGAAAGTGTCAGATTTTTTAATGAAATTTCTCCACATGTGTGAACATGAGAAAATTCACAGACTCGTGGTAACAATACTTAGATCTGATATATGTATCGAGATAGATGATAGATGATAATGAATTTGGTGGATAACTTCGAGATGTGTACAGATATTATTGCAATTGATAATTCGACGATCGCGAGGTTCATGCGGAGATATTTTATACATGTACGTATGTGAGTGGAAAAAATGGAGGTGTATTGAATTCAAAAAAGGCTTCACGTTGAAAATAATTTGGAGAAAAACTGTTACATCTCCTAAAAAAATCTGTCAAATTCCACTGCAACACGTCCAATAGAAAATCTCCTTCAGAGTTTAATTGTCCTACATTTAATTCTTGGCAGTGAAATTATGAAATTAGTGTGGACTTTTCGGCGATTGCGCACAGTTTTTCTACAATTTTTTTTCACTCGTGTGTTGACGTTTGTGGGGACGAATGATTCAGTTTTAGTGCTTGTTGTGAATGAAGCGATGTATGAATTATCTATCGTAAATAATTGCCAGTCAGAAAATTTTCCAAACAATCTAATCACCAGATTAATTAAATCCCTTGAACAAGTGCTAAACCTAAAGAATTCGTCTTGAATTTCTATTCTGTCCAAACGTAGGATATTTCACCCTAATAACAATTCATTTCCAAATCATTGTTATATTAATTTGTATTATTTCCTCTTATCGGGCCAAATGGAAGAAAACGTCCGAAACTCTGTAAATAATTGAACAATTGTATAGATTAAAAAATCGAAATAGAATCGACAAAAATAAAGAAAAAAGAAATTATTTATTAGAAAAAGAAAAAACTATGAATAACCACGCAATAAACCATGAACAGTAACAGAAATGAAACTGGCTCTAAAACACATCCACAATATCCAATAATTAATCGATCGAAACCCTGTCATTATTGTTGTATATCTTGTTGTTGTTGTTGTTGTTGTTCTTGTTGTTGTTGTTATTGATGTTATTGTACCTTGACCTAGAGTGCCGTTACCAGCAGACAAAAATCATAATGAGAATAATCATAACGGGGAAAGTGTTTGACAATTATATCCTCATCAGTCTTCACACGTTTCAAAAGAAAAATCAATAATCAAATTTCAATGTTTACTTTCTCTAAACGATAACTCAGTATTGCAAGAGTATCTCAAAGAAAAAAAGATTCAAAATAAAGGAATTGCATTGTTTGGAGAAATTGAAAAAGTGTCTTACATTGTCGTGATAATGATGAATAAATGATGTGTATGGAATGTACATAGAGCACACACATACGTACATGTCTCCAAAAATTATTCACAGAGAGCATTTTTTCGGTAAGTAAAAAATTAGAGGGATCTTATTCGGATTTTCGGATTGGCATTTTCAAAATAAAATACTTGGACCTAAATTTTTCTCTTCGTGAAGATTTTAAAAAATTCGCCAATTATTTAATAGAAAAAATATCAAGTGAAAAATTCAGAACAATTACAATATTTTACGGATAATTTCCCAGAATTTTAGTACAATTTCTGCAGAAATTAAACCGAAATTGTTGGTAACTGCCACTTGCGAAATTTTCATCACGAATTATTTCTCTCTGATGAAATTACAATAATAGATAATGGAGAGGAATGTAATTATTCGCATGCACCTCGCAGAAAAGCAAAATTGAACTTCACCGCTAGCCACCAGTTATCGCGACGTTGTAGTTCATTACGATTAAATGGAGATAATTAATAGAAGAAATAGCGACGACAAGCGATTCTAAAAGGATAGAATTCTTTAATTATGTCGACATTTAGTTGATGCGTAAATAAAAACCCTTTGGTTCTGCAGAAAATCGTCCCTTCGGTAACTATAATCATCATAATCATGGCCATGGAGAGAAAAGGGCCTAATTCATGGGCCCTTCTCACCCCAAGGAGTCTCTGACTGAGTCGAATGAAACGAGAAATTTTTTGAAATGAAAATGGTGACTATCGATTATTACTATATTATTAGCCCGATGAAAAAGTGGAGATTGAATCAAAATGTCGGATAATCCAAGGAGATTAAAAAATCCGAGGGATTATGACGCAGAAATACACGTGGAGGGCGTCTTCCAATGACTTCCCTGACGTAGAAAAAGGGAAAAGCGAACCAGTTTTATGTGGTACATCGCATTTTTCTTTAATTTCTCATTTTCTTGTAAATTTACATAAGAAACAACCGTGCCAAAGTCTCATCCCCTCCACTGATCGATTTTGTTGCATATGCCGTTAAATAAATAAATAAATAAATGATACCATTACAAATCAAATTTTTCATTTTTACCATTTAAAAAAAGACCGCCAAAACTTCGCTTAGATTGGGAGCCGAGTCGGCGCGAAGTGCCTTCAAAATGGCGTCCGTCGAATATTTTTTAACGGTATAGAGCTGTGGAACCTGTGTTTCGACATTAGCCATCAATTTTTCCGCAGAGTTGCGTCACAATTCATTGGACCAGAGACATCACAATATCTTACAACCCCAGGAGTTAGTAGAAACGAGAATTGAGATCTTCCGGGCAGTTCCCTGGTACATCCAGATACAACCAGAAACCTCAGCCCCCATGACGGGTAAAAGGAAAGTGAATTATTCAGAGAGTGAGGAGCACTCATCCGATGAGGATTTTATCTCCGAGGATGTGTCCATCCACTCGAAGACAAGAGGCAGTACGATTGAATCACCTTTGGTGTTGGAGCCACCGAAGAAACGAGGACGAGGGCCCTCGAAGCGTCCCTGCACCAACAGAAATGCCCTGATGGCAAGGGTCAATCGCCAGAGAAAAAAGGAGTACCTCGAAAGCATCGAGGGCAAATTAAATTACTACAGAAATGCCAATAAAAATCTTGCCAATGTTGTCCAGCAGCAGGGGATTGATCTCAAAAGGCTGACAGCTGAGGTATCTTATCTCAGGAATATTTTAAATAATAATACGAGTATCACAACTCTCCTAAAGACCATGAACGAGTCGTTGAAGCAAAGGAAGTGCAGGCCTGAGGAGGACAAGTGGGACTTGGAGAAGACCGACCCAATCTCGAATTCCCTGGGACTCTCTAAGACGTCTGCTAGAGTTGCAGGGGGTCCAGAAACTCTTGGAGATTCAGAAATCCCATCTGATCCAGGTAACAATGGTAATGACATAAAGTATCAGGGGACTCTGCTGTCACTCGTGGAGTCCGACCACAATTATTCCAATGGAATAATTACTAATGATTTATTTGATTTTGAAGGCGTCAATTGTGATCCTTTTAAAGGGAGCCTTGCTTTTCCATCGGGTAATCCCAATATTATTAATTCCACTGAAGATTCACAGTTTGGGATATCTGATGTGGATATAGACCAGCTGGGGAACTTGGAGATTTTCGATCTGCCGGGAGATGCAGGCGGCGATGGAATCGATCTATCCAGAAGTGATCAGCCTCAGACTGATAATCTTTTCGATAATCTGGATAACAGTGGTATTTGTCTGCACGTTAATTCCGGGAGGATATCCCTTGAGTATTGCTCCATTTGTCATCTCAACAGCATTAATTCTGACGATCCTTGAGGGAAATGAAAAGGGAAAACATCAGATTGTTTTATTTCTATTCTTGAGAATATTTTTGCATTTGCTCGAGTGTTTACGGGACTTTTGTACGAATTCCAGTTATTATTTGAATATTTATTAATGTATAATTAGGGTTGGTGTTTAAGATTATGGAGATTTTCTTTTGAAATTTAGGGGAATATTGTCATTGAAAAAGTAAATTTATATTGAATTCTTCGTAATTTTGGTAAAAATACCGAAATATTTGGAACTTCATTGAAGTTTTGTTTTTCAAGAAATTTCAGTAATTTTAAAAAAGTAAATGTAATGAGGGCGTAATTAGATCTAAGATTTTGTTTTAATTGTGAAATATTCAATGTACTGATTTCTCCTCCGAGACTCTATGGACGATTTTACTTTTGCAGGGTATTAGGTGGAGATGGATGAATTAGGATAACGAGTGTGCCCCTTGTGGAATTGAAAATGGATAATGTTTATAAAGGTGGGCGTCAATTTTAACACGTCGGGTCATCGTTTCTGTTATTAAAATGAACTCGGTGAAATGACAGGGAAGAATTGGGTCTCCCGTATATTTTAGTCGATTCCCACTCGGTTGGGAATCATTTAGACTGGATTTAATCAATGGATTCATTTTAATAAGAGAGAGGATGATTATCATTTGACGCAAACACTTGACACTTAAACTCATTGTTTTGGAATATTTACAGTTGTCATTGCTGGGATTGTTTGTCTCGGAGCCATCCGTTTTTTAATTAAAACAATATTTGTTACGAAAATATGTTAATAGCAGCTGTGTATACAGGTTGAGTATGAAAGTATCACCATGATTTTCTATTACTTCGAGTCAAAAGTAGATTTTTTTTTTCCACTTTTTGTGAGTTTAATGGAAATTTTCTCTTTGATGAAAATTTTTTAAAATGCTTCGTGACAGTTTTTTCATCTTGGAACCAAAATTTGAAGACGAGTTTCTCATTGCAAACGGCCATTTAAGTTTCAGCCCTCAAGTTCTCAACGGTTCCAGCGGTTCCAGCACCGAAAGACCGAGATGAAAATAATTATCAACCATCTTTCACCATTCGTCAATATCGTTTTAAACTGTCCCAAAGTGGTAAAAATTTCTGATTAAAGGTTTTTGTGTTTTCCAGAATTATTTGAAGCCTGCATTAGTAAATTTATTTTTAATCTGTGATAATTATGGATATGATTGATTTTCCATTTGAGGGCACTCGCCATTATTTGTTTAATCTTGATTTATCCGCGTTTACAGATATCGGAGGAGAAATTAATATTTTTGCCTGTAATCTATGGTAATATGTTTTATAAGGATTACTTACTTATAGCATGCTATAATCTGGGAAAATTGATAGCGAATCATAAATAAATACATCATATTCTGAGTAACAACTTCCTTCTGTTTTATTTATCCTAGACCTACATTCTACTTACAAACTATGGGAAATAAACTGCGGTGAGATATGTGTTAAATTAACGAAACAAATAGAAATTATATTTTTGTTTTATGTACAAATATCGAAAATGGTAAGGACTTTGCGGGTCCACTGTGAACATGAAAATTGAGTTATGTATGAAAATAAATTCTTCCTTCAGGTATTCTAGCATAAATGAATTTATTAGACAATCGAGAACTTAAAAAACACGTAGAAAGATAGAATTTAGTCCCTGGAACAGTCTCAAATCCCCAGTCGACTGAACACTCCTGGCTTCTTTATATGCTTCACTGTCGTCACTCTGTTGAAAGTCACTTGCTTCTGGTTGGTCGTACCCAGGCGAGCTTTTGCTGGCAATGAACCGGATTCTGAAGCTAAAAAAATAAAACCGCATTAAATCATCTAATTTCTTAAAACTTTACCTTCAAGCAATAATTTCAGAAATTGTTTAAAATTTCTTTTTTTTCAAACAGACAATAAAACCACAAAACTCATTCGACTTATTTATAAAATTGGAGGAATTCCTAAGAGACTATTAAATTTGTAGAAATTTCTAAACAACTCAGAAGTCTTCGAGACCTTTCAAAAACGCTTCCACACTCACCTAATTTGCTTTTAATATTGACTTTCCTCTCCACCTTCCTCTGGCCACCGAGTTTCAAGGCCTTAGTGGTCTTGACAAGTTGCTTAACACTCGTGGAAACAGTGGATTTGTTTCTCTCGTGATCGGCATGCATGGTGCCAGCTCCAACCCTGGTAGCACTGGAAAGTGACTTCAGCTTGACCAAAGTGCTGCCCATATTAGAAGCTTTGCTCTTAAGAATTCCCTGGAGCTGTCCATTACCACCAGCACTGCCATTCTTGAGAATTCCCGCCGACTTCTCCTCCCTCTTGGCGTCCTTGTCACCGAGTCGATGAAAAACACTGGAATTTCTCTTGAGGACATCCCCAAGGCCAGTGATATTGAACGTGGGATTAGCCTCGCTGGAGCTGGTGGTGCTGGTGACTGAGCTATCCCCTAGTCTATCAAAGACTGTTCTCTTCTGCTCGAAATTCTTCTTAGCCCCAGGATCTGCTTTACTGGGGGGCCTCGAGAGACTCTTGACGGCAATGCCGTTCCCTGCCTTCAGCCTCTTCTGCATCTGCATCGTCCATTCCTCCTGGCTGTCGCTGTCAATCTCCACGACTTTTGTCACAATTTTTCTCTTCTTCACCTGTGGCTCCTGTGGCTCAGCACTCACTTTTCTCTTCTGGACTGAGCTGGTTGCTATCGTACTGGACACTGCCCTCAGGGTCTTGGCAGGCTCTTTTGGAGGTACTGGACGTGCAGATACAGCTGACACCTTTGATATTACTAGGGGCTTCTTCACTACTGGTTTTGATACCTTTAGAACTCTCTCTGGTGGACTGATCTCCTTAGTTTCCACCAGGAATCTCTCGCAGGTCATCTCCTCGGATACTTTCTTGGCGTAACGCAGAATTGCTATCATGTCCCCCATCAGGGTTATCCCCATCTCCTTCAGGCTTGGTTTGTCCAGCTCAGGCAGCATATCGGGTTTTATACGATTATTGGAGAAAACCACAGCATGTTTTGTCGCTACGTCCAGTGGAAATCCTGCATTGGTGAAAAATTTTACCCAGTAGCCTGAAATAATTAATAAATCCAAAGACTCTTTGAAAATTGGCACACCTTCAATTAAACATTAAACAATGAAATTTAAATGATTCTATAAAACGATAAAATAAAAACATATATTAAAAATTACACATAAATTTCGATTAACGCAAAGAATATCTTGTTTATTCACTCATTGACCAAAACAATGAAGACAAGGGTGAGAAAAATAGAAAAAATTAGAGTAAAACTGGAAGTTAAAATTGTCGAAATTCTTCCCCAAATCATAATTTTCACGTTTAAATTCCTGAGAATTCCTAAAAATATCTGATTTACTCACTCGACAGTTGTTTCGCCATTATTATCCAGGAAAACACAACCAAATGCACTACAGACGAGAGTTATCGCATGACTTCAGGTATTTTCAGCATAAAATAGCTATCAAAAAATGTTTGTTTAAATTATTGATTGTATCTCCCCTTGATATAATTGATGCCCGAATTGGTTTTTATTTTTTAACTATTTATAGACAACAATCCGAGGGAGAAATATTTTTAACCTCAACAATCAGTTCTCATAAACATCCGTGAGGGGGCATGAGGTCGTATGACGTCAGAGGAGTAATTGATAATTGAAAATTGGCCTTGATGCATCTGTCATGAAGAGGTCCACGTCACATACATACAGCAAGACATTTCGACATAACCAAGTACGTAAATAAGTTGGCAGGTGATTTTTCAATCCATCAGTTGAGATTATCTAGAAGAATTCACACGTATGGTAGTTATCCGCAGGAATTCGTGACTATTAATTCGGTAATTAGTGCTGTGTTCACTGAGGAAAATCCTGTGTTTGACACGTGTAGTAGAGAATAATTATTTTAGTTTTGGCTGTTTGAAGTCTCTTATTTTTGGATTTCTGATTTTTAAAGGATTCTTTATTTCTCACACTCTAGAAAGCCATAAGATGACGTGGATCTTCTGGCTATTTATCGTCGGGCCATTTGTTTGTGGTTCTGTCAGAGGACAGGGGCAGAGGGTCGCACCCGGTGTTCCTCCTCAGCATTATCAACAGGTATGTTTTTAATAAACTGTAGATTTATTGGAAATTCTTTTTGCATTTTGCTGTTGACACTTTGATCAATCTCCTGGAGTTGGAAAATATTTTCGACGGGCACCTCCTAGGGCCCGAATCCCCATCACCATGTGGGTGATCGATCCATATGGTTGAAGAATTTCAGTGACCACTCATTGTTTTTGCTAAATATCGCAGGATCTAACGGACACAGCGATTTTTTTGTAATATCTTTTTTTGTAGCTCTCATTGTGCTCTAGAAAAGAAGTCTCAAGTGAAATTTTTCAATCTCTATTAGATTCAGAGATATTCGCTGAGAACTACTGGCATTGAAAAATTGATAAATTCATAGATTTGTGTGGTATTTATTGTGTTATATTTATAGCCACCGGCACATCAAGTACCCCAACAGCAAGTGCATCATCAGCAAGTACCCCAGCAGCATCACCAGCCGCAACAGGTAATTAATGACCCCACGGGGAATTTATTGTTGTCAAGCATCAACTGGAACTGATCGATTGATTAATTTCCTCTAGTATCAACAGCCACCAGTCCATCAACAAGCGCCAGTCCAGCACCAACAGGTACCCCAACAACAGCAGGTTCCTCATCAGCAACAGGTGCCTCATCAGCAACAAGGTCATCACGATCATGGCCACCACCCACCCCAGCAATTACTCAACGCAGCAAATATTGCTCAAGAGAAAGAGTAAGCATTTTATTCTCCATCCAACATTTTTTCATTCTGTTACGTTTTGTTTCATTTTTTGTATGTAAAAATTCCTCTCTAAGCAGTTTATGACATAACAATTATGGATAATTATTCCAATTGCGAGGAAGGACAAAACATTTAAAAATTCTCCTAAATTTCCAAGAAAAGTCCATGATTATTGACTTTATTAATTTTTAGACACATCGCTGAGCATTTTGATGTTCCCATGGACACAGCTAAAATGACAGATCAGGAGTTGCAGTTTCATTACTTCAAGATGCACGACGCTGATAATAACAACAAACTCGATGGCTGTGAATTGATAAAATCCCTCATCCATTGGCATGGTAACAGTAATAATTTCCAAAGGAGAATCCAAATGAAGGAACTAAAATCCAATTGAAGAGATTAATGAATAGAATCTTAACAATTTTGTGGCGTTTCAAATTCAAATGGAATGAAATAGATTTGCCAACATCTCAGATATAGATTTTTAAATATATTTAATTCAGAAGTTTAATTGAGAAAATATATGTCCTGTTAATTTAAAATGATCAATTGAAACAGTCAGGATTATATTTTGATAACAGAACAAGGCAATAAGGATCCAGGGCATGGAGGACACGAGGCAACAGCTGGAGACAAATTGTTCAAAGACGAGGAGCTAGTCGCACTGATTGATCCTATCCTTGGCATGGATGACACAAATCACGATGGATTCATTGACTACCCAGAATTCATTCAGGCGCAGAAGAAAGCAGCTGCAAATAATCGCCAGTAGATCAAATTTTGTTCACTCAATCAATCTACTATGTTTTTATGAGTTCTTTTGTCTCATATTTCAACTCGTTATTCATTATTCGAACCCTTCGCATAATAGATTACAAATGAATGATGTAAATTTTCATGAATTTTGTACAAAATATTTTGTTAATAAAGGTGTAAAAATTATATTCGTATGCCCACGTGAAGATAAATTTATTCAATTAGTGTAATACATTTGGAACTTGTTTGCAACTTGGAAAAACTACTTTTGTTGGTTCACAGGACAGCCAATGAGGAAAAGAATTTCATATGATTGGTTGAAGTATTGAACGCCATATTGCAGTCCACGTGTGACCATTCAATTTTATAGTGTCCAGTGTTCCAAAAAGGAAAAACTTTAATAATGAATTTAGGTGTGACAGCGGAAGAATTACTGAAGAAAGAAGACTATTTAACGACTGGCTGTTCTAAAATTGATGAATTATTAAGGGGTGGCATTTCTAAGAGAGGAATAACACAGATTTATGGAGAAGCCGGTACGGGAAAGACTCAGTTTGCTCTTCAGCTGTGCCTGACAGCTCAAATATGCCCAGAAGGAGAGAAAGCAAAAGGTAATCCCCTCCTCAGAGATGATCACTGCAACAAATTTGCAAAAGCAATTGATTTCCTCATATTTCCCGTGGGTTTTTCGAAAAAATCTCCAAAACTACGGAAGATAATCAAAAATTTGCAGTAACTTTTTTGTAGGACTAATCGAGAGCTACAGAAAAGGTTATTATGACAAACTCAATATCTCTCTTAGTATTGCAGATATTTCCAAAAAATCACCAAGGAATTGAGTCGACTCGACTCTCTTACATAAAATTATTATTCTTCTTCAATATTTTTTATTTTCAATTGCAGGTGTACTCTATATCTGTACGGAATCAATATTCCCATCGAAACGTCTACAGGAGCTTCTGATATGCTCGCCAATTTCAATAAAACATAGACCCACCAGTGATTTGATATTTGTAGAACATGTGTCCACAGTTGTACGTATCCAAAAATTCATAAATAATTCAATGGCAAAGTTCTATTTGCTACAAAAGAGTCTTGCAGTGATTATGAAATTATAAAAATTCCTGACGTCTTGCTTAGAGAGATCTGGAGAACTGCATTTTGACTCGAGTACCAGTGATCCTGACGAATAATTCAATTTCTTTACTCATTATCGACTCGATTGCTGCTCCCTATCGAGCGGAATACGAGGAAAACCAATTGAAGAGTAGAGCTAAAAGCCTCAGAAGCATTGGACATGCGTTACACGGATTCTCAATAAATAACGACTTATGTATTGTCTGCATAAATCAGGTCATTACCACTGAATCGATTCATTATTAATCATTAATCATTAATAATTGATAATAATAATTATAATATAATTAATATCTGCAATCACTTTTCCAGTAAATTAATTCAGATGAGTTCTTTTGAATTAATCCATTCTTTTGAATTGATAGAATTCTTTCAACAAACTTGACCATTTATTTTATTATCTGTAAAGGTTTCTGCTAGTATGGGAGCAGTGAAATCCTCGTGTCACGAGTACCAGCCAGTGCTGGGGGTCACCTGGGCCTGTCAAGTGACGAATTCAATAAATTTTTGCCGAATTCATGACCAACGACATATTCATGTGAGGGAGTCCTCGTACATACCTCGTGAATCACTCTCATTCAACATCACACAGGCTGGGGTCTTTGGATCGTCGGTTTTATTATGAAAATAGTCTTTATTAAACAGTACGGAATCAACAAAACGTAGAAAAAAAATTGTTCTTCATGGAAATAATTTGTCGATGGCTGAGAATGTCTCTTTGTCGATGCCCCTGAGGACTTCTGTGGGGGTCCACTTGTTTCTGTCATCTGATGGGTCGAAAGGGTCTGGAGTTTGGATGTCCAGATTAACGATATCAGTCTCCAGGATCAGTCTGAATAATTAGGGAAAAATTATAATAAATTCATTCAATGCCGAGATTTTCTCATCACACAGCAACAAATTGATTTAGCCAACAGATAAGTTCTCCCAGAATATCTCTAAAGATAATAAATAATAAATAATAAAATAAATAATAAATAATAAAAAAATAAATCTAAGAGAGATGGTAGAATTCCTCTGGAGATTTTTTTATAGCTCTTATTTCACTCTACGAAAGTTATCTCGAAGGAAATTTCGTAATATCTCTTAGATTTCGAGATATTGAGGATTATCCTGGGAATGTGAGTTCACCTGAATGAATGGAGAAAAGTTCTGTGGGGCTCGTGATCCTGACGATCGCTGTAGGTGTAGTCTCCGATGATGGTGTGCCCTATGTGGGAGCAGTGGACACGTAGCTGATGTCTACGTCCTGTTCCAGGACGTAGCAGCACTTTTGTCGCTGGTTTTCCATTACGAAGACCTTTTTCGAGGACTAGTATTGCTGTGAAACAGTCTCTAGGATTTTTACAATACTCGCTACTTGTGCACATCCTCTTGCTGCCGAGGAGCTCTCGAATGTCATCACCTGGAGTTGAATTTCTAGATAATATCAGAAGACTTCGAAGGACTGGGTATATCTTTGGCGAAGAGTTGAATAAATTTTTAATGTGAATTTTAAATGTAAATGTTATTTTTTCATTCATCCAAACCCACCAATAGCTTCTCTAACAACGAGGCAATCTTCTTCCACATGGCCATGAACCAGTGCCAGGTAATATTTCTTGGCACACCTCTTCTCGAAAGTCACTGAAGCAGCTCTAGCTGAGTTCCTGGTAAGAGCCACGCAGATGACTCCACTCGTGGCGTAGTCCAGTCTGTGAACAAAATAAAACTCGTGCCTCAATCCTGGATTCGCCAGATGGGGAAATAATCTCTTGATCTCTGTCTGCAGAGTAATCTGGAATAAAATAATCGTTAAGAAATTACACAAAAAAAGTAAATATAAATAATTCTTAAATTTCTAAAAAAATTCCATCTCAATTGTTTTAATTAAGATAATAATGTATATATCTTAATTAGACAAGTCGGGGAAAAAACATCGAATTGCTCAAGTTAAAGTTTAATACAAATGCAATTGAATTTCCTAACGAGTTTGCGAGATTTAATTAAATTTTTCATTTACTTTGGAGGAGTCATTGCTGTTCACAACCATGTCATAAGGCTTGTCAATGACCAGATAATTCCGGTCGTGGTGCAGCACTACAATTTTTCTGTTGTCCTCCATTATTAATTAATAACTGATATTTGTAAAATTTCATTAATAAGTGTTCCTTATTCCTTTGAAGAAACTGCAAAATTATTTTCTACCATTTGGAAGACATTCGAGATTTCAGTGTAGATTACTCTTCATTAGGGCTGAATCTATAAATAAATAAATACAAATACGGATATTCAGCAACAAAGATACAATCAAGTCATTGTTAAATAAATTCCAGTGCAATTATTGTAATGATTGTAGATTGTACTTAATATCGTTGCCCTCAGGGGATTTGTTTCCGGACGAAGGCATAAATAAAAAATTTTCTGTCAATCAATCGATTAAAATCGTCAGAAGTCGATCAATCGGGCGACAACAGCTCGCCTCAAGATCATTTTTCTATTTCTGTTTTACGATTTGCTAATTTTCTCTCGTGTTTATTCGTTCACTTTTCTAGTACTCATATAGTGACTTTTTCATGGCGTTAGGGAATTTTGAAAGTCTCTCGCATTCCCGCCAAAAAATATTTGATACTTCTTTTTTTCAAGTATCTCATCAGCAAATTCAGATAATTATTAGCTTCTAATTAATTTTCCACAAACAAACGAAATGAATTTAATTCATCTGCAATTCTATAAAAATCCCTAGAAAATCGCGTGCCAGAAATAAAAAAAAAATTTCAAATATAAAATCAGCAAAATAAAAAAAAAGAACAATATAATCAAATATTTAATTTATCAATACTTTTCCCACTTTTTTCGAAACTGATTTCGAAGGAGAAAAATGGAGAAATTGTCAACCCCGATTTGAAATCTATCCCGATTCCCGCCAAAACTGTTCAACATTTTCCCCGGCAATATTTTATCGACTGATTTCTCGAATAAACAACAATTTCAAATAATTTCATCGGGGATCAATGAAATAAAATAATCGCAATTGTGAAATATAATTTCGAAAGAGTGAAACGAGTAATTTGTCATAATTTCTGGAAAATTCTACGGGTGTATAGGGGTGATTGGTACCAGTGGTAAAAAAAATGGTTGGCGTTGCATGAGACTTTGCAACGATAAAAGTCGGCGTTTGAAGCTAGTTTGAAGGAGAGTCGGCGAGTAAAACCGTTGCCGCTGTTATTATTTTGATAAAAAACCCTCGAAGAAGACCATCACGACACTCCAAGATAGCAATCAATGATCCCTGGTAATTAGGGAGTCTGAAAAATGTTCAATTCGAAGATTTCGGTGGACCGTCACGTCCAGGAACTCTTCCGGAAGGTGACGGACGAAAAAGAGGTGAGGTTACCCCTTGAAAAATTATAAATCTCAAAATATTCCTTAAATTATGAGTCGAGCATTCCGTAATGTCTGAAAATCCTTGAATTCCCCCCACGGGCTGCATCAAATCTGTCATTTGGAGCTTCACCTTTCATTTTTTTTTAATAACAAATAGCACTTGATGCCCATGCCAACACAATTTGGCGCCTGATTCTCTTTATATAAATGTCGGCCCATGTGGAGCTAGAAATGGCCAACCGAAGGATTTTTTTATCGTTAATTTTTCATTGAGTTCCTGGAGTTCTGGGGAATTGAGGGACAGGTTTGTTATGGGTTTTTGTAATAAAATTGACTGGCGTTGGCACTTAATCCATGACCCAACAAGGTCATCATCCTTCTGCTCTGTTTTCGCTGTTGTTTTGTTTTTATTTCTCTATCGTTGGAGAATAATTGTGTTGCGATGCGTTGAAAAAGTGGCTAAACTACTGAAATTTGTACGCCTTCTCTTTTTTTTTTCTACTACTCTCAAGTATTCCATATAATTCAAGTACTATTATTTTTCATTCGTGAAAATCCGGGTTTCGAAATCTAGATTATTCTTCTATTAAAATTAATTAACTATTAAAAAATTAATTTTATCTAACTTTGTAATTTTTTGAAATTAAATCGACGAAAATTCACACGTACACATTATATTTTGCAATTAATTGACAAATAATTTCTGGAATTTTCGAATTGACAGATTTATAATAATTTCTATATTATATTAGTGTGAATAATAAATAAATATAGTTACTGACGATTAAATATTTTCCATTCCAGCGAAATCTTCGATGCTACAACATAGCAAAACTATATTATCAAGTTGGAGACTACGAATCAGCCAGAAGATATGTCTCCAGTTACCTAGAGGTGAAGAGTGAGTCAAGTGGAGCTCACAAACTGCTGGGTCAGATCTACCAAGCTCAGGGCCAGAAGGAGGCAGCCCTCGCTCAATTTAAACAGTCGCTTGAGCTGGAGTCTCGTCAGGACGATCTTGTCCTAAAGGTATGTGAATTATTAGCAGACATGGAGATCGGTCTGGACGTGAACAGGATAAAATACTGGGTAGACAGGGCGAGTGAGAAATTCGCCCACAACCCAGTGGTTTTCCAACTCAAAGAGAAGATGCTGATGGCAGACCGTCCCAATGGTACAGACGATGACCTCGAATCCCTGATAGCCTCGGAACTATCAGCACGGCCATCGGACGTGAATCTGCGAGTGAAATTGTTGCAGCATTATCTTTCGAAAAATCGGCTGGACGATGCTTACAGGCACGCCCTGGAGGTAGAATCCACCCACGTCCACCGAGACAGTTTCATTTGGTACGAGACCCTCTGCACAGTGTTCACTCGTTTCAAGGAGCAACGACAGCCAAAATCTTCCTTCTGGATCCCCTACATCTCATCGTTGGAGCGTTATGCAGCCCTAGCCCTTAGAGAGCACGGGCCAACTGTGAAGACAATCCAGGAGGCTGCCACAGCAGTCTTCAACATGGATCAGGCCCTTACCCTTGCCAAACTTCAGAACTTCCAGACGAGTGCCTCCTTCATCGACCAGATGTTCACCCACATGTTTGGACAGTTGAATTATCACCTGGCATGCCTCCTCATTCGCAGGACAAAGCGAGAACAGGGCAGCTGGAATGAAACGGGTCGCCTGTGCAGTCCCCTGTTGCTGACCTCGATCCACTCGCCTCCTCTGGATCCCACGGGACCCTCCATAATCTCCCTGAAGGAGTCCAGCAAGTCCCTTGCAATAATCTGGCATCGGGAGGGCGGCTATCGAGTCTCCCAAGCCTCCCACGTCCTCCAGGACTACTCCAGAGAGGATTCCAAGCATCTCCTGGAAAAAGTCGACAAGTTCTGCATTGGCGCCTGGAGGGAACGCATCTATCAACGTATCTTCACCTCCAAATCCCACATCGCCATGATGTCTACGTCGTATTTTGCCAATAACAACTCCTCATCGCCCCCCTTGAGGCTCCTACCCTCGTCAGATGTCAGAAAATGGGATGAAGTGTCTGAAGGGGTGAATCCCTCCTCCTTGCATCATCACGTGTGGCTGGGGCTCGCGAACAAGCCACACTCACGTCGAAATACTGAGCCAACCGTACCCTATCCCAATCAAACCTGTCACATCTTCCCAGATCTTCAATTGTCAGCTTATAATCTTAGCCAGGCAGCTCCAGACAGTCTGGGGCGTCTTGATATTGATGCCTTCCTCAATGCCACTATCCTTTGCTCGTCGATAATCGTACAGGAGCAGCAGAAGAGTGGATTTCTCAACAGAGATCGTATGCCAACATTACCAGCAGACACAACCAATTTGTTGTGCACTGGTAATCAGGAGAAGTGGTGGACCTCAGCTTACAGGATGTATAAAAAGGTTGACAGTGCAACTGGAGATCTCATGGAGCTTCGTCAGGAGATTCAGAGGGGTTTGGAGGTGATCAGGTGCATTGGAAATCATGGACTACACGTCAACATTATCATTCATCTGGCAAGAATGTTTCATCATCGAGGAAAGGAGCTACAGACCAAGGACAAGTCCCATCCTGATATTCCAATGCTTGAGGCCAGGTGTGAACTGTACTGGGAGACAGCAGTGCCCCTCGTCGAGCGACTCATTAATAACCAGACGATAAGATCGACTAGTTCGAAGATATTCGATTACCAGGGGAAGGAGATGAGTAATCTGGAGTTGAGTAATGCTCTTGAGGAAGGAAGGCTAGTACTGGCGAGGAGACTGCTACGAGGAAAGCAGCATGAACAAGCAATTGATGCACTGCAGAGTCTCAAGTGTCCAGAGGCATCTTATTTACAGGCTGAAATCTACAAGACACTTGCTGATGAGGTCATTGGGTCTTTACCCCAGGAGAGCTTGACCTCAGCCATTAGATGCCAGCACGTGGTGCTCTTGGCAAAAGCCAGAGACTGCTACTACCTCACTCTCGATAGACTGAGATCCCCAGGTGTCAATCCCCATCATCCCCTCAATTCAGAGCTTGGGAGTAAGATATCGAGTATTGAGAATGATCTCAAGAGGATCGATCCAGATCTTCATAGAAATGAATTAAATAGAAACGATTGTGATCAGCTGTCAGAGGACAGTTACTCATCAGCTCAGAGTGGTGCTGATCAGCCCATCATCAATTCACTGAGCCATGGGGTAACCATCAACACACCCCAGAGGCAAAGCCACAGGACTCCTAAGCAGTCCAGTACACCGAGACATCACGACATCCTCGAGCACTCTCGCAGCAGAATTCAGATGGAGGCACGTCCCAGTCCTGAGAGACTCGATGCACAGATCAGGCAGCTTGTCTACGCCAAGGATCACGTGTCTCAGACAATTATCGAGCAGAATAAGTCACTACTGGAGACTGTCAAGAGTCTAGTGGACTCAAATAAACTCCTCAAGGAGATGGTCGAGGACCTGAAGAAAGACTTCGCGGATTTTCGTAAGGAGAGCCAGAACAGTAATCAAAAACGCACCAATAGATCGACAAACGTCGAGGATGATTATTACCCTATTGAGGACGACTACTCAGAGATGAATTATACCCAGCCTGTGGGAGGCCTTCCAGCAACTGGTCCAGTCCCTCCAATGACTCCTCATCAGATCCCAGGGAATCTTTTTGCTAATCAGAGGCATTACTCACCATTGGTGTACCCTACCCCGGGATTACCAGGATATTATCAAGGGGGATTGCCATTCAATGACCAGAGCCATCACATCCCAAGTCTCTATCCACCTAGTGTCTATCCAATGGGTTCGTATCCTCGACCTCCAGTCGATCAAAGTCTTGGGATGCAGCCTGGAATGTTCCAGCAGGGACTCTTCCCCAACAGACTCATGGATATTGTCTCACCTCAGACTGTTCAAGGGACACCTCTCACCATGCAGATGCAGAGTCTGGATTTATCGAGGGGTGAGCCAGTCCAACCTGTCCAGCCAGCTCAACCAATTCCATCAATCCAGTCTGTACAATCTGTACAACCTGTTCAGCCAATCCAACCAATCCAGCCAAACCAGCCAATCCAGCCAATCCAGTCAATCCAGCCAAACCAGCCAATCCAGCCAATGCAATCAGTCCAGCCATCACAGACCCCTCTGTTCCCTGTAATAAAGGACGCACCAGTGAACAAAGCACCACCAACGAATGTCGTAATAACGACATCAGACACGCTTCCCACGACTGTCCCATCAGTTCAGCCAATTTTGAGCGTAAATATTCCCCCACAGCACAGAAATGTTGGCAACTCTGGCACTACCAGCATCACAACTCTCTCCAGTGGATCCCATCAATCTATCAATGCACCCCACAACTACCAGATCTCGATGCCATCACACGCCAACATTCCAACGACTGTCAATCTTCCACCCCTGGCAGCATCAGTCACCAATACCATAGCAGCTGTTTGCATGCAGGAGAAGTCCAAGAACACCAGTATATTATCAACTGGCTCTCACAATTCGTCAATCGAGGCTGTGGAAGTTGAGCACGATCCAATACCTGATTTCCAACCAGTTATTCCCCTTCCTGCTGAGGTCAAAGTCACCACTGGTGAAGAGAATGAGGATTGTCTCTTCGTGGCACGTGCCAAATTATTCAGATTCGCAGACAAGGAGTGGAAGGAACGAGGTGTTGGCAATATCAAACTCCTGAAAAACAAGGAGGGAAAAGTCCGGCTGCTGATGAGGCGGGATCAGGTGCTCAAGATATGTGCCAATCACATGCTGACAGTTGAGATGGAGCTCTCCCCGATGCCGAACAACGATAAAGCATGGATATGGGTGGCTAATGATTTTGCTGATGAAGAGGTCAGACTCGAGAAGCTCTGCATTAAATTTAAAACAACTGACGATGCACAGGACTTCAAGAAGAGCTTCGACGAGGCCAAGACCAGCATCGTGGCTTCTCCAGTGAAGCCACCAGCTTCAGCACCAGAAACAAGGAGCAATATTGTCAATAAAATTTCTCCAGTGGTCGTCGGAGGATTCTCCTTCACGAAGTCTCCAGTTATTCAGCAGCCAGCACCTGAGGAAGTCAAGAGCACCAAGCAGAGTGAACAGGGAACGAAACCTTCTCCATTCGCTGGTTTTTCATTCACGAATACAACAACTGGTTTCTCCTTCGGGAAGACTTCTGCTGAAGTTAAACCATCACCCTTTGTGACAAGTTCAGTGACACCTCCTCAGACTGGAGCAATGAAGCCTGTGGAGACGTCAGAAATCTCTGGCCAGATCAATGACGACAACGAGGCTCTCCTCTTCGAGAAATCAGCAGTTCTTCTACGAATCGCTGGAGAGGGCCAGTGGAAAGAGCGAGGAACAGGTTCAGTGCAGCTCCTCGTGGACCCCAAGACTGGGAGACTGAGAATTCTCATGAGAAAGTTTGACAACTCTAAAGTCTGTTGTAATCAATCAATCTCATCTAATCTCTGTTTCAACGTCATGACAGGGAGTCCAAGCACAATAGTCTGGACCTCCCAGGAGACTTCCAAGACAGGAAAGATTGAGAACTACGCTCTGTCCTTTCCAGAGGCCAACGACACGTCTCGTTTCAAGGAGATCATCATCAGTGCGCAGAAGGTGATGGCAGGCAACAGGATTCCATTGGAAAACATCTCCAGGGTCGATAAAATCGTGAGGATTAGTCTGAAAGGAAAATCCCAGCCATTCCAGTCATCAAAAGCATCCCAACCGTCTTTATCAGAGATGTTTAAACCTGCTGCTGGCTCCTGGGAATGCACCTCCTGCTACACGAGGAACAACTCAAATGCTCAAACCTGCATCGCCTGTGCCGCCCCATCAGGAAAATCGGAGAAAGCCGTGCCCTCGTCAGTGCCACTGTCCGAATTATTTAAGCCAGCCCCAGACTCCTGGGAGTGCCAGAGCTGCTACACGAGGAATACAAAGTCGAATCAGTACTGCGTAGCCTGTGATGCTCCCAACGATCCATCATTGCCACCAAAACCTCAGACAGGTGGCTTTGGATTGGCCCCCAGTGGTGGGGCACAAAAATTCTCATTCGGGGTGCCATCAGTGAAGGACAAGAAGGAAACAAACGTCACATCCCCAGCTGCTGGGTTCCAGTTTGGGGCAGGTTATGGTTTCAATTTCGGAATATCAAAGAGCGATAACGCGATACCTGATGCCAAGACATTCCCACCGTTTCAGCCGAATCCCCAGGAATGTGCCTTCCCTGCTCAGAGCATCGAGGTAACTCCACCCAAAGGATCATTTGCTTTTGGATCCCCTGGCAAATCGTTTGACTTCCAATTCCCAGGAAAATCACCTGTCAAGTCACCAGGGACTGATGTCAGTGAGGACGAGGTCCCAGAGAGTGAAGACGTATACTTTGCACCGGTTATTCCACTTCCTGAGAAGATCGACGTGAAAACTGGGGAGGAGAACGAGGAGATTTTGTACACACATCGTGCTAAATTATTCCGATTCGATGGCAATTCGAAGGAGTGGAAGGAGCGAGGACTGGGAGAGATCAAACTCCTCAAGCACAATGATACGAATAAATTGAGACTCGTGATGAGACGAGAGCAGACACTCAAGTTGTGTCTGAATCACCTGGTACCGGCTGATATGGAGCTGACAGCCAAGGACGATAAAACTTGGATATGGAATGCTGCTGATTACAGTGATAATGAGATCGAGTATGTCCAGCTGGCCTGCAGATTCAAGACTCCAGATATTGCTGAGCAATTTAAAATTGCTGTGGAGGAAGCCATTGCCTGTGATGCTGGATCCAAAGAGGAGATTCAGAGGACCTCCAAGTCGTCCAGTGTTGGCTCAGAACAGGATATCCAGGTGGTTTACGAGCTCAAGGTAACTGATGAGGAGAAGGACGCAGCTCTCAAGCTCAAGTTGCCAGAGAATTTCTACGCTTATAAACAAAAGGAGGACTGTCCTGGCTGTCTGGGATGCCAAGAGCCCGATATACCCCTCTTCGAGGGACAGAAACCAGAGGCATCGAGTGAAGAGAGTGTTAAAATTGCCCCAGCAACTTCAGTATTTATTCTTCCTCCACCAAAATTCACTCCACCCCAGGTGCGACCCACGACAACACCGATGGTCTTTGGTGGTGAAGGTCAGGTGTCCTTGTTTAACTCCTCTGCACCCACAGACTTAGGGGATGAGGAGAATAAAGGAGAGAAAAAGCCTGAGGAGTTTGTTGTTGATCAGAAGGCTGAGCAAGAATCCATGAAAACCTTGGGGAACGTCAGTATCTGTAGTCCAGACCCAAAGACTCAGATAAACTTTGGTAAACCTGTGTTTGGGGGTCAGTCCTTGATATTTGGCCAGTCAATATCGTCGAAGAGTATTTTTGGTGGGTATGAAACGCCCAAAACCACTGGATTCACCAGCAGCTTAGGTACATTTGGAAAGCCTGAAGCACCACAGAATCTATTTGGAGGTATTGCCAAGGAATCACCACCTTCATTCAGTGCTCTCGCTGAATCTAACTCCATTTTTGCGGCCAATACATCACCAGCTACCAATAACACCGGGAAAGTCTTCGATAATCCCTTCGGCTCGAAGGTTTCGTTCGACAGTCTTGTAAACTCCAACGCTGCCTCTCCCCCAACGAATATCTTTGGGACACCAAGACTTGGGGAAATACCACCGAAAAATGAGGAGAATATCAGCTTTCTGAAGACGGACAATTCTGTGACGTTTGAAGCGCTTGCAGGCACTACCACTGATAATGCCTTCAAGAAGGATCCAAATTTCTCCTTCGCTGGAGTTGGGCAATCGGTGTTTGGAAGTAAAACTTTGAACTCCAGTGGAGCTGCTGGCAGTGCTACCAGCAGTATCTCCAGTGTGGAGCAGAAGAAGAAGTCTGAGGAGGAGGACGAGGAACAGACTGGGTGTGATGGACAGGAGTACGATCCCCATTATGAGCCAATAATTCCTCTTCCTGATGCCATAGAGGTGAGAACTGGTGAGGAGGAGGAGGAGAAGGTGTTTGGGCACAGGGCAAAGCTGTACAGGTACGAACCAGAGACCAAGGAGTGGAAGGAAAGGGGAATTGGTGAGATGAAAGTGCTTCATCATGCTGGGCATGGAACCTACCGACTTCTCCTCAGGAGGGAACTGGTGCACAAAGTTGTCTGCAATATACTGATAACTCAAGATTTGGAGATGAGAGTATTGCATTCATCGACTCGTGCCTGGATGTGGGCTGGCATGAATTTTGCTGAGGAGTCACCTACTGTGGAGGAGCTTGCTGTTAAATTCAAGAATCAAGAGCTCGCTGAACAGTTCAAGGAGGCAGTAGAGAGGGCTAAGGAGGACATCAGAACTAGAGGGGCTCATCCACAGGTTGAGGAGGAAGAGGAGGGAGAGGATGACGAGGAGATTCACTCGTTGATGTATGAGAATGAGGCGACTCTGTTATACTTGGGGGAGGATAACTCTGGCTGGAAGAGCATTGGATCTGGACAGGTCAGGATGATTTATGATTCTGATATCTTTGGAGCGAGGATTATCTTCGAGACTATGCCTGGACAAGTGGTCTGCAGTACTCTCATCAGCATGGAGACTGAGGTTGAGGTACAGGGGGACAGCTGCACATGGACTGCCATTGATGATGTATTCGAGCCACCCACCAGCAGATCTTACAGACTCAAGTTCGCCAGCGAGGACGAGGTTCAGGACTTCTTGGTGAACTTCAGGGATGGACAGGAGTGCGCCAGGCAGGCTGGCATCAGTGAATTAACGTACTACGAGGAGAACCAGGAGAATGATGAGGAGGAGTGAGTGTGTAGATCACTCTTAGCAACTTATTCGAGGATTCATCAGGAATTTTTAGGTCCAGAATTGAAGAAGAATTTATTTTTATTGATTTTGTATTTTCAATTGACGTCAGATTATTTATTCGGTAATTCGTCGGCGGATTGCAAGCCGAATATTTGAAAATAATACGAAGAATTGAGATTTGGAAACCTAGGTGAATATTTAGGAGATGTAACAGATGAAATAAAGAATTATGAGTCAGTGAAATTGTGAGGAGTCATTTATGTTATTTCTTTTATTCTGAAATTTGCTGCACACTGAACAATTGAAAAACACGCGGTTCTCGTAGATTCCTAAATTTTCATTCACAATTTGCATCTTCTTCTGAGGGTTCTCAGAATATTTTCCCAACATGGCATCAGCTTCTGCACATAATAGACCGAAATTAAGCTGTTTAAACAGAGGTAATTCCTTGTGATCATTACAGCAAATTAATCAATCGAGGAAAATTGTTTTCAATTTGTTCTCCACGAAAAAAAAAGGTCCAGGGCCTGTGTATGGACTCCCCCCTCTCGTTGGCTATGAAAAACACGACCCATCGAAGTATAGAAATCCAGCTTACACTCTAAGAAAACGTCTGGCGAGTTTTGATCAAACCGTGGGCCCAGGGCCCACCTATGATATTGCCAAAATGACGCGGAGAGGCCCAGAGAGACCCCCAGCATTCACCATTGCTGGCAGACAGAAGACAAAAGGTGAAGAACTAAATTAGTATCAATTATCTGCTTTTGAGAAATATCTCCGTATGTAAAAGACTCAGAGAATTTTTCGCTGATACTTTTTTGTAGCTCTCAGTTTACTCTACAAAACAAGACTGAACGAAAATTTCGATATCTCCTCTAGACTCAAAGATATTCCTCAAAAACTCGGTATACCATTATTTCTAATCTCAAATACGTGATATTTCTGGGCAATTTCAGACTTAGGTATTAGATTTAGGAAAAAATATCAAAAGATTTTTTCAGTCTAGTATTTAATCAGCTTCAAAAAAGTCACCTAATATTTTCTTGTGAAGCCCATAGTTTTCGAAATAAATGGATAATTAGGAAATGTTCGTTAGTGAAAAATCGTTACCTGTGGGGTTTCAGATTTTAACGTTGGTCCCGGACCCTGCGGATACCGACCAGAGGGCTGTCCCCCCATGAATCATATCCCGAGACCCCCAGCCTATTCCCTGAAAGCGAGATATGTGGTTGATTGGAGATCGCATGTGCCTGCCCCAAACAGCTACATGGTCCCCTCTTGTCTGGGCCCTAGAATACCAGATAAAAGGGCCCTCGGGGCTTTCACAATGTAATTATCATTTTCACTGAAGATTGAGAGTTTAAAGACGACACTGAATCCCTGGTAATTCCTTTCAGAACTGGACTCCACGGACTGAAAGCGAAATCCCTGGGACCGGGCCCTGCGGCTTATATTTTCAACACAAATACAGTGAAACGAAAATATCCTGCATTTTCCATCAAATTCCGGACGACAAGCAACTTGCGGACAATTGGCCCAGGTCCTGTACATTATCCCACGTACAACACGAGAAGAAATGCTCCGAAATTTTCTTTTGGTGTAAAACACAGCGAGTGCTCACCACCTCCAATTACCCCAATGGATGATGAGTGATTCTTCAATTTTTGTACTTTATTATACAATAACTAAATAAAAATTATCGATCAATTATTGATTACTGATGGAGTGAAATAATTAATCGAATGGCTTCATTAATTGATTTCATAATTAATGGATTAATTTGAGAGAAACTGAAATTCCGAAATATTTTGTTTTGCCAAAATAATAACAACAATTTTAATAATTCCTAGATTAGGACATCTATTATTGGATATGCTCAGTCAATTATTTCAATCGTATTATTGATTGATTAATTAGTTGTTTATTAAGCAATTAATATTGATGAATTTATTAATTAGGATTTTTTAAATGGGAATTATAAATTGAAATTCTTTTTTTGCTATAAATTTTTTAATATCCAGTTTACTTTAAATTTAATTAGTGATGTAATTACTGGTCAATTTCGAGCAGTTGCTATAATGTTTTAATCTGTATTAAATTACGCAGAATAATTAAGATATAGTCATGAATTTATATTTCACCGCTAAATACTTAGAATCTTATCACTCATCACTTGTACTTTGACTGTTGTGACATCATTAGTCCGTATTTTTTACAGCTTTTATTTTCCATTCATATGAATTATTTGTTAATCTCATCAATATTAACAATCCAACAGTAGACAAATTGTAAATTTTCAATTTATCATCGGAACTATAAAGAAGAATCTTCATAAAAATCTCATTTCACTCCTTTGAAAAAATTTCATTTTTTGAGTGCGACACAAAAAGCAGAGAAATTCAAATTTAATTCCTCGTAATTTATTCTATTTAACAGTAATTAAAGGTTAAATTATTCCCTTGGTTTTCAATGATTACAAAAAAATATTAGACTTTCTGCCCGTGAAATATTGCCCATTGGAGTAAATGGAATGGAACCGTTAATAATCCGTTGACCCATTTTGCAATTGCAAAATGCTCGCACTCTGATAAAGAGAAACTTAATGCCCCTCTCCATGGAATGTTGTAAGATATTAGAATAGCCTCGCAACATCGCCTCATTCGTCTCTACAATGTTCAGCACTCAACATGTCGTGAATTAGTACGTAATTGCAATCAGCTTAAAAAATTGAAAAAAGAAAAACAGTTCATTTGCTCGGAGTTAGGTGCTCCAGTGGATGAACATCTCCCAAACTCCTGTTTGTTTATTTATTTGACAATTTGCAACTGAAAATGTCTGGTGGCGTGTTACTAAGCAAGGATCTACCTGACATTGAAGTGAGTGAATTTTATCTCAGCAAATATAATATCTATAATCTCATGCAATCATATCTGGAATTATCGCGAATAATGATTGCTCTACTAATTTTTGAAATGCCTTATGAATTTATTCTTTATTATTTTGAGAAAATTTAATTTAATTACCTCCAGAATTTGCTACGTCTCAATCCCAAAGTGAAACATTACACGAATTTAATACCTTCGGTGGAGACTAAGCGGAATAAACATCACTGGAAACGCAATATCGAAGAAAAATGTAATGTAAGTATTTTTTCAAGAAAAGATTCATTTTTAAGTTGACACTAATTCTTTTATAATGGATAAACTAATTATATGTGGATTGAGAGTCGATGGAAAATCGAGAGTATTAAAGATGTTCGACACCCTATAGGCAAAATTCGCATTTTTTAGATTTTTTACGAATTATCGATGGAATTTTTTTTTTCATTATTCAATTAGTCAATTATTCAATGAAGTTTTGTGGTGACGCAATCATTTTTATGCATTTTCTCATTACAGTTTTACGATCGTTTTTAAAAATGTGGAAAAAGCGCAAAATATTCCCACCACTTTGAGACTTGGTGAATCATTAAACAATGAAAAAATCCAAAAACGTTACATTTTTTAATGTTAATCCCATAATAAGTGTGCAAGAAAAATGAAAAAACTATAATTTTAACTATATATGGGTGTAGAAATTGAAATCATTTTCAAATCGCTAATAATATAATAACTAAAATAACGATTAAACATTATTATTATTAAAGTAATTCAATGTCTGTTAAAAGACCTTGGAGACTCATTACCATTATTATAAAAACAAATTTATAATTGACACTTCAGTCGCGAAATTGGAATAATTTTTATTGGATTATGGAGATCGAAATAAATAAACACTTGGGGAATTTTGAGACTGAGAATTATTATTGAAAATTATAAGACTCTAGACAGTTAAGAGGTACTTGACTGAACGAAGACTTACAACGAAACTAACTTAACATTACTAGTAAGGCCCACGTTAAACTCCTCTCTAGAGGGCAATATAATTTCTCCTTCCACCCTCAACCCTTGGATTTTTCTCTTTCTTGACCCTCTCTGGTCGCCGTATGTATTTTGGGAAAAAACCGCAATGAGAAAGTCCTTCCGGGCCTTCCCCCTTTTTTTCATAACTTAATGTTGTTGTCGCGCGACAGTCTCTGTAAAAAGTTTATCCGCTGTAAAACTTGATTGATTGCATTGTGCATGGATAGCTAAAGCATAACTATATATTTTCCATATTAACTATTTTCAATTATATAAATTTATGAATTTCCGATAATTATATTCCGTAAACCAAACGGTCAAACGATTTGATTTTTTTTTCTGTATTTCCTCCCACGATGTATATTCCACGTTTTTTTTTATTTCTGAAACTGTCGAGCCGTTGATTTTAAAAAAATTCTAATCGGCAAAACTCCATTTAAACACGTGTTAAATCACTCGAATTTCAAAAATTTATATCTCAAGTTCAAAACGGTCAATTGCAAACGGAAAAGGCTCATTTTGTTGCTAATTTTTCAAACTATTCACCATAAAATTTTTAACGAAAACTGTCGAAAAAAAATTCTACGCGACAACAACCTTAAAGGAAAGGTCCCACAGCAACAAAGAAATAAATATTTCCTAAATCCGGAAATCTAAAAACTCCAGAAAAGTGAATTTTGAACTCGAGGGAAAACCCCGAAATCGAACAATTTTCAAATCAGTAATAACAATAACTTTTTTAAAAATACCGATAGCAAATTATAGAAATAGTAATAATAGAAAGAGACATTACTAAACAGTTCTAATTAACAATTAGGAGAGGGGAGGGTAAAATGGACCGTGTAGGTATAATGGAACATCCCTTTTTTTATATTTTTCAAGTTTTTTATAATTGAGTAATCGATGGGTTGATGAGTGTTTAAATTTCATATTTAATTAATTAACATGGAGTTTTTATTCTGTATACCAAATTCAATTGATTAATACTTAAACAATATGTTGTTGTCAATTTTCGCTGTGATTTCGACGTAACTCAGGCCATTGTCATCTAGTCTTAAGAGTAATCTTAAGAACCAGATTATTAATTTATCAAATTAGTGCATTTTATTTTATTACAAAGGGACTAAAGGGGGGGGGGGGCAAAATGTAACAATCCGTTAGGGTATATATAGACATTAGGACAATATTTAAACAATGATAAAGATCTGATTTGTGATTAACGTTAAACACTATTTGCACGAAACAGAAATTAATTGTTTTTTTTATAGTCTCGACGAGTTAATTCGGGAGTATTGGAAAAAAAAATCGTGAGAGGTAGAGAAGGCCATTTTACCCATCTTCCCTCTAAAATTTTCGTTTTGTTGACGCGTTGCACAAATTTGGGTTGACGCTTTTAAGGGTCCATTTTATCCTCCTCTCTCCTACAATTTCTCACTGTTTAATCTCAATTTCCCAATAAAGATGACGATGAAAAAAAATACAATTACCAAAAGAAAACAATATAATTACCAATCGAATTGTCTGGAATCGATTCGAAAAATCGATTCCCATTCCCGAGTTATCACTAGAATTTCAATCATTCAGACGTGCACCCTGACGAACAACTTCGAGGACATAAAACACACGACCTTGAGTGAACGAGGTGCCCTGAAGGAATCGGCGCGATGTTTGAAATGTGCGGACGCGCCGTGCCAGAAGGGCTGTCCAACTCAAATCGACATAAAATCCTTCATAACATCGATATCAAACAAGAACTACTATGGAGCAGCTCGAGAGATTCTATCGGACAATCCCCTGGGCTTGACTTGCGGCATGGTGTGTCCAACAAGCGATTTGTGCGTCGGTGGTTGCAACCTGGCAGCGACGGAGGAGGGGCCGATCAACATCGGGGGTCTGCAGCACTTCGCCGTCGACATCTTCAAGAAGATGAGGATCAAGCAGACGAGAATACCAGGACAGTCAGTGAAGCACGCCACCACGAGGATCGCCCTGATGGGGTGCGGTCCGGCGTCTCTGTCCTGCGCGACCTTCCTGGGACGGCTCGGTTATAAGAGCATAAAGATCTACGAGAGGGAGAGCTTTCCAGGTGGTCTAAGTTCCTCAGAGATTCCGCAGTACCGTCTACCCTACGACGCCGTCAACTTCGAGATTGACCTAGTGAAGGACCTGGGGGTGGAGATCGAGTACGGAAGGTCCCTCTCGACGTGTGATCTTACCGTCGACACGCTCAGGGCCTCTTACGACATCGTCTTCCTGGGGATTGGACTGCCGCAGGCCAAAGTCATTCCCATCTTCTCCGGTCTCACCGAGGCATCCGGTTTCTTCACCTCTAAGGGCTTTCTCCCTCGTGTCTCCAAGGGCAGCAAGCCAGGAATGTGCGCCTGCAAGTGTTCTCTGCCTTCACTTCATGGTAATGTCATCGTACTGGGAGCCGGGGACACCGCCTTCGACTGCGCCACGTCGGCCCTTCGCTGCGGCGCAAAACGTGTATTCGTCGTCTTCAGGAAGGGCTTCACGAATGTCCGAGCGGTTCCAGAGGAGATGGATCTCGCACGCGAGGAGAAATGTGAGTTCATACCCTTCCAGTCCCCGCAGCAGGTGATTCTGCATCCGATGACGGGAAAAATCGTCGCCGTGGAGTTCGCCAGGACGGAACAGACGGAGTCCGGCGAGTGGATCGAAGATCTCGATCAAGTGACAAGACTCAAGGCGGATTTCGTTATCTCTGCGTTCGGTTCTGGGCTTTCAGACGAGGAAGTCATCTCCGCGATGGCCCCGTTAAGGCTGAATAAGTGGGGCCTCCCGGAGGTCAATGTCATCACTATGGAGACCTCTGAGCCCGGGGTATTCTGCGGTGGAGACCTCGCTGGAATCGCACAAACAACTGTGGAATCTGTGAATGACGGAAAAGTCGCTGCCTGGAGCATTCACAGGTACATCCAGGAGTCTCACAACGAGAGCGTCCCCGAGACACCTTCCCTTCCAAAATTCCACACGGAGATTGATGATGTCGATCTTAGCGTCCAAGTCGGCGGTTTACGCTTTGAAAATCCCTTCGGCCTGGCGTCAGCACCACCTGCCACCACCAGCGCCATGATCCGACGGGCCTTCGACGCCGGCTGGGGCTTCGTCGTCACGAAAACCTTCAGCCTCGACAAGGACCTGGTGACCAACATCTCCCCTAGAATCGTCAAAGGAACAACCTCGCGTCACCACTACGGACCGGAACAAAGCAGCTTTCTAAATATCGAATTGATATCGGAAAAAACGGCCGCCTACTGGTGCCGCAGTGTGACAGAACTAAAACGGGACTTCCCCGATAAAATCATCATAGCGAGCATCATGTGCTCGTATAACGAATCTGATTGGACGGATCTATCGAGACTTGCAGAGGGCGCTGGAGCTGACGGCCTTGAACTCAATCTGTCGTGTCCCCACGGCATGGGTGAGTCCGGGATGGGCCTGGCGTGTGGTCAAGATCCCGTTCTGGTAGAGAACATCTCCAAATGGGTCCGGAGGGCCGTGAAGATTCCATTCTTCGTGAAACTCACCCCCAATATCACAGATATCACGGTGATCGCGAGGGCCGCACACGCTGCAGGTGCATCCGGGGTTTCCGCCATTAATACTGTCTCCGGGCTGATGGGCCTTCAAGGGGATGCCACCCCTTGGCCCGCCGTTGGCACGAAAAAACTCACGACTTACGGTGGAATTTCCGGGAATGCAACTAGACCGATGGCTCTGCGCGCCATTTCTGCGATTGCGCAGACACTCCCGGGATTCCCCATCTTGGGCATTGGGGGTGTGGATTCCGCGGAGGTGGCGCTGCAGTTTCTGCACTGCGGTGCGTCCGTCGTGCAGGTCGGCAGTGCTATACAGAATCAAGATTTTTCATTAATAGATGATTATTTAACCGGACTTAAGGCCCTTTTGTATCTGGAGGCGAAGGGTCTGCCAGGTTGGGACGGACAGAGTCCACCGACGATGAAGCATCAGAAGGGAAAGCCTGTTGCTCTGCAGCATGCCCTCGGCAAACATGTCCCGTACTTTGGGGAATACCAGCTCATGCGCTTGAAGGCACAAGCGGAACTTAAAGCCAAATCTGATCCATTGGCGGGTGATTCAAATCAAGATAACGACGTGGCGCGAAATTCTGGGACGCCTGAAGGGATTCCCACGATTCGGGAAGTTATTGGGAAGGGGCTGGGCCATATTGGGCCCTACAAGCGCCTGGATAATACCCAGCAGGTGGTGGCGCTAATCGATGACGACATGTGCATCAACTGCGGCAAGTGCTACATGACCTGCGCTGATTCCGGATATCAGGCCATCGAGTTCGATGCGGATACCCATATTCCTAGGGTCAACGATGACTGCACTGGCTGCACCCTCTGTCTCTCCGTCTGTCCCATCATTGATTGCATTACGTAAGTTCTCTGGATTTTTTTGTTTATTTATGGAATAATTTGTATAAAATTATTTTCTGTTGAAGAATGATCCCGAAGACGATTCCCCATATTGTGAGGCGAGGCGTGGCAACCACTAGCGAAAATGGCAATGTGCAACTGGCGTATTGATGATAATTATCAAGTTTTTCATTTTTTTTCTTATAAATTTATTGAGTCTTGTAATAAACAGCAATTTAGAAAATAAGATATCCTAGTAATTTGGGTTGTCGAACCATTGGAGACGTTTTGGCTCCGATGAGTCTAGGTCGTACACCAGACATTTCTTCTCGAATATTTGTTTGCTAAAAATTAAATCCATTGTCAATTAATGTTCATTGTAATGGAGCTAATGGCAATGGCTATGCCGACCAATGGTAGTTAACTCCTGGTGCTTTTAATTTATCGGTTAATTGCTGAGGGGGAGTCTCGTAAAAGGGAGGACTACATCTGATTAGAAGGCGAGGGTGAGGCTTTTCCTTGGTAATTGAATTTCGTACCTGTCTCTCTGGGCACATCCGATTATCGGATAATCACACGTAAAACATTGCGGCCTCAGAATATTGAAGTATGTATTCCCGATGCTACTGGATATTATGGTGTTGGCTCTTTTCAGGCACTGGAAGAATGCGTGATCACAGCCACATGCAGACCTAGAGCACAAGTGCATATCAATTTTTATAAACTTTTTATAAATTTTTTTATTATTTTTTAGATTCATTCTTCAATTCAATTACATTATCCAATTGATTTCTTTATTCTTAATTCCAGGAATTTCAGAACAAAAAGAAGACTTTGTTGTTCAATTCATAGGGACAACAAGTCGAATTATCTGTGTTAAAAAATTATTCATTTTAATTAATAATAACAATATTTATCTGTCTTTTTTATGGAAAAAAATGTATTTGACAAATGAAATGAATCAAAAATTGAAAAATAAAAAAATGTTTATATTAACATTTTTATGTGTATTAAAGAAATTTATATAAAAAATGTAAAACAACTTTTTTTTATGAAAAATAATTTTGATTATTTCTTTGTTGACGTAAAGAGGATTTTTCAACTAATCTTAATAAATAGTGGAATTGTCAAGGCTTAGGATAGTTACCTGGTGAATATTCCATTATTCCTCAAAGGCCCGTAACTATCACCGGTCGCAATAATAGTAGCACATTCATCATGACTCCTGCAGCAGGCGTCAGTAATTTCAAAAGGGCCCAAGTAACTGGAATTAGGGGCGATATCACCGGTTCCGCACCAAAGAGTACCTGGACGAAAAAAGGATCCCCACACGGAGAGAAATATTTAGTAAAAATTACGGAATTTTCAGTTCACTTACCGATTACGGAGTTGATTTGAAAAATTTAAGTGACGGTATCGTTATTGTTCACCGAAAATTACGGAACACCGCGGAAAAATTCCATGACTTTAGTTAAAAATTACGTTCCGTAAAATTTCCGACAACCACATTTCGCTCCAGAATTACGGAAAATACACGTAATTTTTATTGAATATTTCTCTCAGTGCAGAAGTGATCCGTTGAAAGAATTCCCGAGACAAAATGTCATTTTCAAAGATCTTTGAAGGATGAATGCCGAATCAATACCTGGAAAAATGGCTTGAACCTGTATTTTGAATTTGTCCAGGAGGGAGCCGAAGGTGTCCGGACCAGTGCCTCCATCGTCACCAGAAACACCTCTGAAAATTCCCCCAAATCCCTGAATGAGTCGCTCCAATCCACTGCGATAGGTCTCCACTTCCATGTCCCCAGGGATGTCTGCATCGCACTCTCCTCTCCCTTGGTGATGCTCCAGCAGCAGAACAATCACAACACACAGTGAATTTTTCCTCCAGGTGAACATTATCTGAAGATTTATTATCAAGTACTAGACCAACGAAGAAACCGAATGTAATGGATAGCCCCTGGGACTTTTATACTACTGTTGAACAATGGCATGGTCATTATTATAATTTTCATGCTTTTTTTGTTTTCCATGTTTTTCCGATGACATTATCATTGACAGTGGCATAAATTCTGATATTCCTGTGGCATTAACTCAGACAGCAATCGGATAATAATAAACATGAGTGCAAGGCGTTACAGTACTCAAGGGGTCAATTACTCTCAGGAATCAATTACTAGTTGGTAATTGCAGAGATCAGAAAATTCAAAGGATTGGAATTCGAAGAGGAATTCCATTAGTATTCTGCTGGAAATCTATCAGAATTCTAACATTTTTTTTAATTCAATTTTTCTGAGAGAATTCTGTACGTGAGAATTAATTAAAAATATTCAAGAGATTTTTAGCGTTTTTTTTATTGATTTAAATTGGGAATTAATCAATTTTTTTATTGTATTCGTATGAAATTTGTTTTAATTCTTTTTTTAATAATTGCGGCGATGATTAGCATGGAGGAAATAATGGAATCTATAGACACATGAAAAATAATTATTGACTTGTGTTTCAGGTGGAAAAATTGAGTGAAAAATAACAAAGTGATAACGTGAACATCTCCGTCAGGGGCTTTCCCCCAGACATTGACAATGTCAGGAGTAATTTGTCAGATAATTTCCTCATATTTATTCATCCGTGCCAGACACAATTTACATCCTTCGTTATTTATTCATTTATTACAACAAAATCATAATAATTATGAATTCTGAATGCAAAATTGAAATTTGGTGATAACGGATAATTCGGTGTTTATTTTCTCAGGGATATTTATCAGTTTTTCCATAATTCCAGGGATTATTATATTTTGCCTGTCGGTTATTGAGGTGCCGTTGTACTTGTTAGTACAGTAAAGAAGGAATACGATAATCGAAGGATCTGAAATCAGACATTATGACATTTTCTTCTACTTCAATTGGAATAGCGAGAGAAACTCCTTCGCCATTAATAAAAAATCAATGTTCAATTTTTAATTAAATTAATTAATTGCCGAATTCAATTAAGGCCCGGATGGACTGTCTGGAAAACATAATTTACTCCAAAATTGGGACTTTTAATTACTCCGTCAATTAATCGTTTTTTCCGATAATTTTTAGCTAGCGGCCTAGTTGTTGACAACCGCTAGAACGGTGGCTAACAATTATTGAATAAAACGATTAATTGACGGAGTAATTAGAAGTCCCAATTTTGGAGTAAATTATCTTTTCCAGGCAGTCCATCCGGGCCTTAACTAACTCACTGCCTCGTGGGATTAATTAGTTGGAATTGATAATTATGAGATTAATGATGAATCAATGATAAATTATTATTGTTATTAATGATCAATTGTTGGGGATTATCTAATTATATTATCTAGGTATCGGATAGCGACCAAAAATGTTGTGCACATGGGCAAAGGCGTCTGTAATAAATAAATTTTAACATTAGCATCAGGAATTTCTCTCCAGGATTTTCAGGTAGAAATTGCACTGACGCCTACGAATGTCTGCAATGACAGCTTCATGATGGGTCCAGCTGTGAAAATAATTGGTTTATGGGACCGCGTGATGAGTATTCTCAGGTCGTTGTTCAATTTTTTATTGAATTTCCACCAGTTGCTGGCGAAAGCCGTTGATGATAAACTCTGGCTCTTTAAAAGAGTGAAAAATTAATTAGGGTAATGATTTTGGTTTATGGATTTCATTTGTCGTTGGCACCTGGAGAGTGAGTTCGTTGCCATGCCAGCAGTAGATGAATATCTGGTACGTCATGCAGCACATGTACGTCATCATGCCGAGAGTCTCCACGGGAACAAAGACCGTCATCTACGAGACATGACACCCAGAGTAAAATTCGTGGGGGGAAGTTCATTGGATTACCTGAGTTACGTGAAAAGCAGTGAGACATATGATGATGCAGTTGACGAGAAGCTGCGCCAGGATGACATTTCCAAAAATATTCCTCACTTCCTCGATGAACCTGATTCATTATTAATCATTTATTAACTTTTCATTAATTATTTAAGATTGATCTTCAATTGCTGAATTACCCCATTACATCAACACTGTGCTGAATACATCTATGCAACTCTTCCCTGAGTTTCATCTCCCCAGATTCCCTGGAGCCGGTCTTCACATCTAACTCCAGAAGATTCCTCTTGACAACCTCCAGCTGACAGCACGCGACATTGATCAATCCCGTGATCAAGGTGTCCATGGAGATGTTGTGGAAGCACCCGAGGATAACGGCGAGACTCTGATGGGCGCAAGTGAGTTGGAAAGCTGGTGTTGCTTTGGTGTCATATGGATACCACGCCTCCATGGGTAATCTCCTGGCATGACCCGAGATAGCATCGGCTATGGGGGTAAAACCCCAGCAGAAGACCGCCATTGTACCAAAGCTCTGGTACCTCATGTGGTGGTACATGCCCTGCCAGGCATACCACGTGAAGATCCTCTCGAATTTGTCAAAATCCTTGCAAAAATTATCACTCGTCATGGTATCCAGAAGTCTTTGGATTCGCTTCTGATTCCCTAGAATTAGAAATATCTGTTTTTTTAGGGTCAAGGTCATTATTTTAAGGATTATGGCAATTCAAGGACATCTCGTCCCGGAAAATCATACGAAACTGGAAATTTCGGTTGCACTTTTCTGTGAGAATAAATATAAAATAAATATAGTTTTCTTGAGTTTGACATTTTTTTACTTTTAAATTCAAGATCATTTCCAAGTGAATATTCATAATAAACTGTTGATTGAAATTAATTTCCAGTAGAACCTACTGAAATATGTAAAATGAATAAATTAAACAAGTGGGGAATGGTTATTATATTGCATGTATAGTTATATATATCTAGTTGTCTTTGCAAATAAATTAGCAATACGCTTATCCGAATGGTTATTTACCGTATTACCTTTTAGGCTGGTAAATAAACTTTCATTGTTATTTCATTGAATTGAATAATTCGCTAGCAGCGTTCTTCAAATGAACTTTTTCAGCTACAATTGTCTTCGTCTCCTCATTGATATACGCAGATATCGTCGAGATTTAGTAGGAAATAAAATGGGATTTCATAGAAATGAAAAAAAATATTAATGCTGTCACCTTCATCTTCGAACTCGGTCAAGAGGACATTAGAACAATTTTTTGCAGCCGGCATTTCAATGATTCAGATGATGTTTTTTGAGTTATCGTGAAAAACCGAATTTTCGAAAAAATAAAAAAAAATGAACGATTGAAATCAATTTTTGTTGATGTCGATAGATAGGACCCAATGAGACCTACATTTGAAGAAAAAAGATTCAATTAGGTAGAGATAAGGGTGAGCAATTAAAAAAAATTAATAGAAAAAAATACCATTCGGACACGGTTTAAAAACTGCATTTTCGAACTCTTTGGGTTTTACTGAGTTGATGTATGACAAGAAATGGGAAACTAAAATTTGGCCGATTACAAAGTTTCCATTTGGAAGCAATAAATTTGGTGGATTACAAAGCTTCCATTCGGAGGCAATAAATTTGGTCCATTACAAAGCTTCCATTGCGAGGCAGTAAATTTGGTGAATTACAAAGCTTCCATTCGGAAGCAAAAACTTAGATTTGGTTGATTACAAAGCTTCCATTCGGAGGCAATAAATTTGGTCCATTACAAAGCTTCC